CCTATGACTGCCAGGGCAGCAAACTCCAAAACAGTAAATTCTGGAAATAATTAACAGGCAGTGCCAGCCAACTACTGCAGCCGTTACGGCACTTCCTTTGGAGAGCACATTAATAGATTTAACGGCAAGTGAATTGCACCATGTGCAGTTTTCCAGAGCTTTTAAAAATGAAATCCCTAGAGCCCAGTCTGCTAGTAATATAATCTTAAAGTAGCAAAGGCATTCTATAGAGAGCTGGAGAGCATCCCCCAAACATGTACTTCTGCCAAACACTAAGTAGCAGCAGCTTTCGGAAACACTGTACGAAGAAAAGCCAGGAATTCAGTTTCATAGATTGCCGCCCCAGGCTCTGTGCACTTTGTAGCAAGTTTGCACCTTGGGGTCTGATTTAAATTTTTGTTGTGTCTTGCTGTACAACAGAAATAACAATTCTTAATTGTTATTAATTGTCCATTACCTAGTATTAGAGCATGCTGGCATTCTAATGATCTTGTAAAATTCAGTCCAGAATACTCAGGCAAATAGTTTAATAGGATTCCCAAACACACACCACAAACTCAAAAGAAAAAGATAACCCCTTCCATTCCAGCATAATGAAGGCTACGACCATTTTCTTCCTACGCAGTTTAAAAAAAAATATGGTAATCTGCCTCCTTATTTCTGCTTACAAACCCCTCACAAAGTTTAACTTTATGCTGCTAATTTACTTGGCATCAGGTGGAGAAGTGCCATTATCCGCAGCAGACAAGCCAGGATACAGAGACAGACAAACTGAAATTAAATTCACAAAGGAAGCATGTGGCAAAGCAGAGAATTTGGACTCCATGTCTCCAGACCAGCATATTAATCACAAAATTAATCCATCTTTTTTTTGCCTCCCATCTCTCCCTGCTAGACTAGCATAAAATGCAATTTTAAGTAGCCATATGCTTTTGATGTTCTGTTTCCAGAACATGTTTACATCTTCCATCACTGTTGAAATTCCAAACTTATTGTATTGCAGCTGGCAGTGGCACTTAGGGACATGGTTTAGAGGTAGACTTGGCAATGCCAGGTTAACAGTGGGACTCAATGATCTTTGAGGTCTTCAAAACAATTGATTCTGTGACTACAAATGACAGCAACCTGTTCCTGTACCTCACTACCCTCACAGTTAAGAATTTCTAATATTCAGTCTTAAGCCTACCCTGACTCCAAGTGCCTATTAGCAGAGCAGTCCCATGGTTGTTTATCTTAATACAATCGATGGAATTAAATTGTAAACTGGGTCAGTGTTCTTCATGTCACACCTCCAAAGATATGAAGTTAAAGCAACAATGAAGGAAACTTTGACCAGGTAAGTATGAATAATTTTTGAACACAGGCTGTCCAGCTAAATATTCCTAGCAAAGCTGTTAAGGAATTCACAAGTAACAAATTATTTTTATAAAAGCAGTCAGATTTCTGCTTCATGCATTTTAGACACACATAGTATATTTGGTGTCACCATTTCTTGAAAGAGGGAAGGAGATTGTGCAAGAACAGGGATATTACTTTTATAGACCAATCTCAACCCCCTGCAAAATTGATCATTAAAATTCCATAGTTAGCAGCATAAATTTCAGCTTTGTGACAAGGTCAGTAATTGGACAGACACAATAATGGCTAAAGGAAAAGCTGATAGCAGCACCACAAAACATGTCCCTCAAGAAATAACTTAATGACTTTTGGCTATCATGGTATTTTTCTCATATTTTTCATTTAAGTGTGTCATTTTTCTATTTTAAGCTTTTTGTCACTGCAATTCCTGTCCTTCCCAGAATGTTATAAAAACTGTTGTTAGCTTTTCTGTGTTTTCTGAAAATCCCCCACCTGCAAGATACATTTGATATATCCACTATCTCCCACCACTCTGCAAACAACTGGTTTAACCGGTTTCCAAGAGAAAGGTTGGTGGGGAATGTTCGGGCAGGGACAGAAAGCCGCCACATCAACAACATGAGCTGTTTTAAGCGTTTATCACCACCAGCTGCTTTTCTTCCCACTGTTCCATAGGCTGTAGCCCTCTGCCCGTGGAGTGAAGGGACCACCCACCTGTCCCCCTGCAAAGGCAGCTTCACCGGGATTGCTGCAGCTGCAGGGTTAAGTAAATGCTGGGACTACTAGTGAGAGGGGATTTACCGAGTCTGTATAAATATTTGGGTGCTAAAGCCAAACTGATAGGATTGGCATTCTCCCTTGGCAAGAGTAACACTGAGCATCAGCAATGTAACTCCACAAAGGGCAATAACAACAGTAAAGCAGTATTTAAGTAAAAGCTTTTGTCTGGAGCTCTGTAATGGTTTCTATGGTTTTTATATTTGAGATGCTCTGCATGGTGCAAAGGGCGAGATCCAAGAGCTGATATGTACCTCCCCTCCGGAAACAGTCTGAATGCTCTCAGAACAAGCTTCGATTTTCAAGCAATGAAACTGGGCTTAAATCCTATACTCATATACAGCTGCTATCCAATGTCTGTGAATTTAAAACACTTTCAAAGGCCATTATAAGAGGACTGGGAGTGTGCCCAGGCCCAAAAGAGCATACTGTTTTTTACACTGATTACATTCACCTTGGATTCGTAAGAAGCCTTCAGGCATTTAACTGACAGCAAAAAATAAACGATTTGCTAATACCAAGGTGTACTGAATTGTTGGAGCAGTAACTGATGCACATTTCCACTCTTTGTTTTACTATCCTCAGTTTTAATTATTCAATCCAGCCTTGATCCTCAGGATGAGCCTGAAGAACACAGGACAGTAAGAAATCTCTTGAATCTAAGACATACCTTCTCAACCTTGCACAACCATATGACAAATTTTAACCAAATTCAGTTTAAAAAGCAATCAGATTATTATTTCCCTTCCCCATAGCACATATATTTATGTGAAAGCTGTTAGAAGTTGACTGTATCAGGCTTCTTTTTGACTCTTATATCCCTTTATTATGTTTTCTTTTCGCAGCTTATGATCCCCCTCCCTGACCATGTATTTGTATAATAAGCACAACTTAAGAAAAATGGTTGGTAAGAGGATAAACACAACAAACTCCCTTAAGCAAACAAACCAACCACCTCCTTCTTCATCCATAGAACATCTAATCTTCGCACTAGGACAACTATGCAGATCAAGAAAATCACAGGGAATTAGGGAAGAGGTCATTCAAAGTTGACTGCTATTAGAAGGGGGTGCCAATTTATTAGGTGGCTCGTACTTAAAATAAATATACTAAGTGCAATCCTTTTAACACAGACATTATTAGCTTCTGCATCCCTCCTCTCCTTCATGTCAGATAGTCAGATTGCTGGTAACAATCTAGCAACACATTTGAAATAATTTAAATGAGCCTTTTTTTAAAAAAAAAAACAAAACCAAAAACCCACCCATAACAAAACAATTTCTTTTCCATTCATCCAGATGACTCCATTGCTCTTATCATCTTCTAAAGTAAAAGCTGTGGATACTATACTAGATCCATAAAATATCTTTAATACATTGGTAATCATCCCCTTGTTTTCTACCTTGCACCTGTAACATTTTCTCAGGTAAGAATAGGCATTCAGGTAAAAAGAAAGGCACTCTGTTGAGTAAAGATGAATTTTATTGAAGTGATGGCCACATGAAAAGACCATCAAAAACATTATTTCCAACCAAAACACTTATCTATCCAGACTACCAGTTCTGAAATTACTACAACAAATATATTTTAACCTCTTCATACATTTGGTTTCTCAGCTTGTGGGTGGTGACTGCTATTTGCAAGGCTCCTAAGGGAGATATTTTTACAGTACCAGTAATAATGGAAGTAGCAGGTAGTTGAGGAAGTATTGGTGCACTGGGTGAAGCCAAGGCATAAGTCAAATGAAGCATAGGTGGTTCAAAGCCACTTAGTACAAACTAAGGAGACTTTTAAGCGTTCCTCCACAATTTCATGATATATCATCTGCTATCAAAGCAAAGGGATGGAGGGAGATAGCCAAGGGAAAATGTAAGTTTAGAAAATTATCTAACCCTGTATTCTCAGTTGTACTTTAGGGAAGGAGGGTCACGAAAGAAAAAAGCAACTCTACTTTTCCATGTATCATTTCCAACATGGGTTCCCTTTGGCCATCCTGAACCCCAACTACAACTGGCCACATCTACACAACAGCCTGACAAGCTCTGGTCTTCCTGTCTTTCAGATGGAGCACTTTTGCTTGCACAGATGAGTCTTTCTCTTGGGTAAAGGGAACATGAAGGGTATACAACCTGTTTCTAAGTCAGCATTAGGTAGTTAAAAATTCAGCCGCAGTGCACACGCAGGTCTGGGAATTCTGAATTACTCCCATTTTTGGTTTTTAATTAATAAATATACTCTGCATAGTGACAGCAGAATCTTTATTATTATTATTATTATTATTATTATTATTATTATTATGCCCTCCTTAGGCTTGGGCTGAAGGCAGGCTGATTGAAGATAAAAATTGGTCCTAAGCTTATAAACTCTTTGGGCAAGGGTGACATTTTCTAGGAAACATTCTAACAAACACGGCACTGTAAAGAAAACAAAAAGAACCAGAAAGCAAAGTTAGCACAGTGCTCTTCCAAAAGATGAGCACCACAGAATATCAAGAAGCAGCAGTACTAGTTACTTCAAACTGCTTTTTGAAAGCAAATCACAGCTACAATGCTGTACATTACAAATGCAAATATATGACATATAAAAAGTTTTCTATGCAAAATAATCCTGCTTCCAGTTCACATTCTTCTATGCCATTTACTGCAAATGTCTATTAAACTCTGATTTATTTGCTTACCACAAAGGTAAGTCCTGGCAATCTCAGCAACAGAACACAGTTTAGTAACTGTTATTAAAATACTTTTACATTAATTAAGATTTCAATCTTCCATTGTAAAAAAAAAAAAAAGTAATGCAAGTTGTTCACTACATTCATAAGTACAGTACTCAAGTTTTACTAAAAACAGTGAGCATGCAACTCAGACTTGAAAGAAGTCAATAAGCAACCAGTATTTAATACAACCAGTGATATATGTTACTTGCATACATTTATTCACAGCTTACAATGTTAAATAATTTACAGTTCTGAAATATGTGCATTTTAAGAGGAACTTGTCACAGCTCTTCAGCAATAGCAGAGACTAAATCAGATCAGCTGCAAATGGAGTGTGAACTAAGTAAGAAAAAGCCGTACTCTTCTACTTATGTGCTTCCATTGTTGAAATCACAGCAGGAGAATGACTTGCTCTTATTTTTATACATACTTCAAATCTCTCCCGTCACTGTGTTTTGGCATTCTTTTGAGTGACATTAACCAAACCCAGCTATGAACAGCATTAGAACTCAACATCTGAGATCTGGTGCAAATTGTGAATGCTAAAGATGGTAAATCCTTCCGAAGGCCAATGCAAGAAAGACTAAATGTAACCTCATGTTTGATACTCACAGACATCTAAAAGACTCATCCCTCACACTACTACTTACCATCAGTTCTGTGATCTGAAAGTCCACAGAGAATGTTTTCCCCGGTAGCACAAACCATAAGGGTTCCAGTTAAAACACATATTGGAGGGGAAGTAAAAAAAAAAAGGTGCCTAAGATGGAAAGGAATTAAAATACCTAAATAAAGCCCATTAGCTTTGTTGATTGTGTACTGAAATATATACAAGAAACAAAAAATTAAACCAAAAGTACACTAACTGAACAATTTATTCTCAATGTGTTGACTTTCTGCTGTTCATATGTCCAGATTAATCTCAGCCCTAAATAAGGCAATATTAAAGGAACAAACATCATTTCCTTAGAGCCTCAACTAAGATAGGTAGGAAAGGAAGAATGCTATTTAGTATTGGTATGTGTACCACAGAATGATTCTCTGCAAAATAGCACAGAGAGCATGAAAATATGAGTGAAAAGTATGGAAAGACTCTAGTTGAAACATAAACAGGATATAAACATATATGTATGCATTTTAATAACTTACAAATAAATTAAGATGGTGAAAGGTAGTATGGACTGTAAAGGGGAGAAGAGAATTGAAAGTAAAAAAAGGTGCTGTGTTGATAAAAGAAGTAGAGATGGTAAAGATTTATTTTTCTCAGAAAAAACCATAACATTCTGTTGAGTAATCCAGAACAGAGATTATCTCATCTGTGCAAAAGATCTGTGTGAATAACATGTGCACACACAGATAAGTGAGAGAAAGGTGTAATACCTTCAGTCATCAGACCATTTAAAAAAATGCACCTATTGAGAAGAGCTCCCTCCTGTTCTCTTAGAAGTTAATGATAGAAGTCTGACCTATGGACTCAGATTCTTTCTTTAGTGTCTTCAATATGACTAAGTCAGTATGGGTAGTCTTTTCATCTAAGTATGGACATCGCTATAGTAATGGAACATTTCTTCCTAGTCTTTTCCACAAACTTCCGACTTCAGGTTAAAAAGCCATAGCTTAAGCCCTTTCTCCAAAAGCTTCAGCTCACTTAAGACCTCTGATCTTGGAGTATATCCTAAGACCTCCATAAATGTCATTAATCTCTACTACAGTACCATGCCCAGATGAGCCAAGCATTGTATTTCATAGAGATTTATGCACCCGCTACATTTTGTGAACCATCGCCTTGATATTTCAATCTAGCTTTTGCAAAAAAAGTAATTTAACAAAGACTAAAACTTTAGTTCAGAAAATGCCCTTTCTGTTTCTTAATTATCTTACATTTTGTAACCATCACCAGTGAGGAAATAATTTTAAACTTCTAAAACATGCAGAGTATAACACTAACCATATAGATTAGCTAGCTGACAACAATACGTGAAAGCAACTGTAAACCTTTTTAAATGCTTTAAATCTAAAAGTCTAGTTATTCCAGTTCATATATTAGATCAAGTTTTTGAATTTATATCAAAAGAGCCATTACAGGTTTGTTAAATTCTGTTGCCAGGCAATTTGCAATTAATTTGTCATTTCTCATAATTCTTATCATCACCTTTAACATTTACAAAAAAAATAGTTCACTGTTGCCAGAGCATAATGTAGAACCATCTTTCAGGGCTACTGCAGGCTTCTTTCTTAGAAGAGCCTAGAAAACTGAAAGTTACACACAAAAATAAAACCCTTTAGTTCAACGCTACAACACCAACAGATTTTCTACAATAAGATTTCTCTTTTTTGCAGTTGTGGAATGTGTTTAAAGATTCAGTGTTTTCCACTGTTTTATCGAAGTCCTGACCAGCTGTGGAGGTACGAAGCCCACCCAGAGGGCCGTGAGGTACTCTCTTCCTCACCTGAAGGAGGAAGAAAAACATTTCAGTTTATTATGTTAGACATTGCAACATTGCATTATTTGGTTACATGACCTTGCCCCCTCCTCCCCACCTCAATCCTTTTTCAAATGCTGTCCTCAAACTTGTTGAGGAGGGAACTCGCTCTTGGGCTGCCACAGATATGTTCATGGATTTTATCACCAAGTCCACTTTGGGTACTTAAGGATGTTTGAAAAAAGGCCATATCACCTTTCTCCACAAAAATTCAATCAGTCTTCATTAGAGGGCCAGAACAACATCAAAACATCTAATTTTTCCAAATGCACAGCCTATCATGGAATGCATGGAATGCTTCTCTTTTTAATGTGATTTTGTTCATAAGTTGTAAGTGCTTAAAGTAATATAAACACATGGTGCTTATTCTTTATATTAATTTTTAAATAAAGTATAGGTCTGTTGTTAATGATGTACAGGAAGCTACAGTTACTGCTTTTGAGAAGTGACAAACAATACCTTAAAGAGCGTTTTAAGGGGAGTATTTGAAGCAGAGCCAGAACATTATTATACACATAGCTGCTGGGTTTATTTCTTGCAAATGCTTAACTCTTTTTATTTCCTTCCCTAGTTCCTTAATTTCTTGAACAAAAAACATATTTTCTTTAAGTTACTTTTAAAGTTAATATATAGAAACTAATATTAGATCTGCAGTACTGCTTTGAGAGGACCACTTTAGTTACCTGTTTGGAACATCTGCCAAGAAAGTATTTCAATTATATTTGTTCTGTTTCCTGAACACTGAATAGTAACTTCCCAACAAAGCAAAATGGTTTTATGACTAGCTTGCTAGCATACCGTTGCTAAGTTTTGTTTTCCCTCAAAGGTCTACACAACAGAAAGCATAGAGCTTCAGTTGCCTTTATATCCACTTCTCCTTTTTTTTGTGACAATATTTTGAACACCACATACCTTGGGCAATTGCAACCAGCTTCCCCTTCTCTTCAGGGCTGAGCTGCAACATGGTGTCTATTACTGGGAGCAGCCGCTCTTTCTCGCTTCCTGATTTTAGAAATATGAACTGCAGTAGAACATTCTTCAAGTATTCTAAATTAGCCACAGACTTTTCTCTCTCTTGATTTCTTTCCAGTCTTCTTATTTCATTCTTAAGAAGCTGCAGATGAGGGAAAAAATATGCAATATTGTTTGCTTCATACAATGAGCAACTGAACAAAGGTCTTTTGAAGACCTAATAAATTAATTGCACATATTGCTTCAAAAAGAATGTGTGCATACAACGTATTCAGAACAAGAATCCAGTGAAAATTGAACATGTGATAATATTGTACAGAAATAACTTATTGATCAAAAATAACCTTTTTTGATAAAATTTGTGCAGTAGTTATAACAATTTCAGCGATAAAGAGTAGTAAGAGTGGAACAGTTAAATATATCAAGAGAACTGATGCTATCATTCATTAGGAAACATTTTAGAAAAGAAAGCCTGGCATATTCAGGGAATATGCTAACTTCAAAAATGTCTTCAGAAAACTCAGGGAGGTGCAATCAAATCAAACCAAACTCATACAACAGTACATGTATCTTCTTTTAACATAAGACAGCTAAAAGGGGTTACAGGAAGACAAACCAGACAATGCTTCCCTTGGGGTTTACTGCTTTTGTCTAAGTGAAAACAGTAAAGACCCTTTACTAAACATTAAACTTACAAACTCTTGAGGTTTTTTTGTAGAAGGTTCTACTCCACACTCCTCTCCCCCTACCCCCCACCCCACCTTCCCACCCAAGTAGAAACTGTGGTGAAAAAAAAACAACATCCAAACCAAAAAACTGAAGTCAGCTCTGGAAGTGCTAATTAGACCTGTGCAATAAAAGCTCCTCCAGAATTAAATTTTGCATCACCAAAATTTTACAGACTGGGATTTTCTGAAACATACTGGGTGTTAAATATTTGGTCTAAGAAAGAGACTGTGGAAATTAGAGCTGTCCTCACGTGTCTTGCATGTCTGCTAACCTTTATTTGTTCCATTAGAATTGCATTTGTTGCTTCTGATTCACGAAGTAATTCATTCAAGTGATCAGCACTCTTTGCTGTTGTGTTTAGTTTCTGAATCAGTTCATCCTTGGTGAGTTCTGCTTGCCACTGAGATGGTTCTGCAATTAATTGGAAAAGAAAACTAAGAAAAGGAAAAAGCACTTGCATCTACCTCATACTAACTTAACGTCAGGACTTGATTAATGTAGTTCCTTATAAACAGAATTCATGCAAAGTCAGACTGCAGACTTAACAGGCATCAAAGCTGCTGCTGTATGCTTATTTTCTAATCTATTTTTGTTTATATATTAGAAGGGGACTCACAAAACAGTTCTAGAATACATCAAGATATATAGTTTTAATTATCCTTTGTTTCCTACCCCTAGATAGAGATTTTCAACAGTTATCTACAAAGTGTTCAGTAGATTTTTGAATCATGATTAGATGCTACCATGTATTTTTCTGGCTTTGAGGGTATTCTTAGAACATTGTTCTTCATGATGGCTTTCATTTTCCTAGAAAGAAACCTATGAATAAATTCCTGCTCTAATTAGCCTCATTGAGAAGAACAGAAATTTTATCCTTTCATTAATCAGCTTGGATCAGCACTTAATTGTCCCTAGTATAGACTCCTTCAGAATACAAAAATTCTGCCAACTTATTCACTTGCTTGCTCATCCAGTCTTTTCCCTTTAGAAACTCAGAAATATGACATTTTTAAATTACTAAAACCAGTAGTAACGTTTTATTTTACGGTAGCAAGTTTAGTCCTTATTCAAGAATAAAACTCCTACAGAAATTCAGGACAGTGTAAACTCAGTGACACTTAAGGAGACTTGTGTCTTGCACCTAAAAGCATGAAAATATGAGGGAAGAAACTTCTGCAACTTATGTTGGCAAGTGCTTCTAAAAGCCACGTTCTACCTACCAGTTTTTGCTTCTGATGAGTTCAGAAGTTGTTCCAAGGATTGTACATAGGTGCTGGCTGAAGAGACAGACTCTGTGTCTGTTGTTTCCATACCTTCTCCCTCTTCCCTAGCTACAGTGTGCACATCGAGAACTGGAAGGTCAGTGTTTCGCCGTTCTCTCAAGTTCTTCGTTCCTGGATTTGAAACAGCTGGACCTGAAAGATACTTCCTGATGTTTGTTATCAGCATGAAATCAGGAGGGCTGTTTCACAGATGTGACTGTCTCAGACTGAGAACAGTACACGAACTAGTCTTCAAAATGCAGGTGAAGAAAAAAGAGAAAGCTAGATACATAACATTTATAATAGAAGAATACAGCCTTTCACCTCCAAATGATCATTACAATCAAAGCCTGTTTCTAAACCTAAAATTTACTGGCAATTTTTATTTCAGTGACTATGAAATCTTCATGCAACTCTCCCCGAAGATAGGTTGTAGCTATGATCAGAGTGACAAATATTTTTAAGGCGTAACAGAATTAGCTTTTATTTCAACCAGTCCTGTGAGAGGCATAAAGTCTTCTGTTTTAATACTGTGTGCAGGACCCTTCTGCTTCAGTAATAGACTAACTTCTTAAACTGTTACTGCTGCTTGGCAAATGTCCAACTACATCCTGGTTAGTAACTTTACAGATACAAAAATAACACTTGAGCCTGAAGACAGTAAAATCTTAAATTAGAAGAGGGATCAAATGGCAAGTATACCAGTAACAAACATTCTTGAAACAGCTTTCAATACACTTTTCTTTAGCTTCACCTCTCCTACTTGAGGCGGATGTCTGGTATACTCCAAAACCTCAGACAACCTAAGTAATTTCCCTTCATCTGTCTGACAATGCAGACACTGCAGAATAGATAACAGTGATGCAGATTGGAAGGCACCTACAATGATCATCTAGTCCAACTGCCTGACCACTTTAGGGCTGACCAAAAGGTATCAAGAGCATTGTCCAAATGCCTCTTAGACATTGACAGGCTTGGGGCATCAACCACCTTGCTAGGAAGGCTGTTTTAGGGTTTGACCACTCTCTTAGTAAGGAGATACTTCCTAACGTCCAGTCTGAATCTCCTCCAGGCAGATCTGAACCACTCCCACACATCCTATCAGTGGGTACCAGTGAGAAGAGCTCAGCATTTCCCTCTTCGCTTCCCCTCCTCGGGAATCTCTAAGACAGTGATGAGGTTGCCCCTCCCTCCTTTTCTCCAGACTAGACAAACCCAGAGTTCTTTACCACTCTTCACAAGACAGTCCTTCCATCTCTTTCAGCAGCTTTGCTGCCCTCCCGTGGATGTATTCAAGGACCTTAAGATTCTGAAGGGACAGTAAGTAATAACAAAGACACGTTCCTTACTTGGTATCTGTGGACTGTTACAGCACGCTGCAGTGTCTCCAGAAAAGGTTTCTGGTAATTTACAGAATCACACAGTGTAAGCAGGTTTTAGATTCAGACTCAGGTGCACAAATTTGTAACTAACTCAAGAAACCCTGGTACTGTTACCTCTAGTACTTGGTTCACTCTTGAGTTGGAAGAGCTGAGCTTCTACTCTGGAGAGTTGCTGCTGAAGTGTCTCTACTGTTTTCCTGTGCTCTTCTTGCAGGTTCCTGACTTGATCTCTGAAATTGTTCCGGAGAGCTTCATTCTGGGCTGTCAGCTGACTCAACATCTGGGCGTGCTCTGTTTTCATGACCATGTTCTCAGACTGTATTGTGCAGAGTCTGAAAACAGCATACACACAAACAGTAAGAAACGCACAGCAAAACTCTGTAATTTTTAATTTAAAAATTTTTAGAGTTTGAAGCAGCTTTCAATTTTCATGTGTATGATTATCTTAGAATGACCACGCAAGTTTTTTCCATTTAAATTCCTCTTTCTACAGGGAAAATCTAAGACTGAAAACGTTATGCTGATTACCTATCATTTGAATGCACTGTGCTATATAAACTCTCGATTTCTATTTTAGAACACAAAATTCAGACATCTTTGGGGAAAAAAAAAAAAAGTATTAGAGACATGGTGCTGTAAACCTTCTTAAATTCTAGAATTGCAACATGACTGTGTTTATAGTGTCATACAGGGCACGTCGCTTACCTTCTACTTCACTTCTTATAACATTTATTTACGAAATACTTATGCAGAGCTTCTAAAATCCCAGGTTTCTAAGAAGCTAAGTTTAATTTTTTAAGCCTCAACTTTCAGCGCAGAAGAGGGCAGAAGAGTGTAGCTGTTAGCAAGAAAAATGTCAGTAACTCGCCAATTGTTGGGGGTTTTTTTTGGTTTGGAGGTACTCCAGAAGCACAACAAAATTGTCACAAGCAATTAAACAAGTGCATGTATGGAAAGACTAAGCACAGGACTTGCCCTTGTAAGCCTAAAGACTTAAACAGAGCCAGCATGTCAAAGAGCAGTCTCTCTAGGTATAAAGGGAACCTACGGTAAAGTGGGTTGTTTCCAGAAAAATGCAGGACGTAATTTGGTTGATTATAGTGAGCCATCATCTGGCTACCAGGAACAGATAAAACTGCACAAAGATGGTGACAAGAAGTCAACAGTTCCTAATACCAAGCTGTAATTTTTAATGAATATTTCATGTAAACTTCTTTGTACCCTCTACAGACAAGGGAAAGACCCTTTGTGAGGAGCTCAAGTACTAGGTACTCATGCGATGTGATAAAGATTAAACAGATTCCTTTCATTTTGAAAGAAACAGCAAATTAAGACTGTGGCAAGCACAGACTTAAAATCTAGTACTTTCTGCAAGAAAGGCAGTTGGTGAACACAGGACTGGGTATTTTGTCAGTGAAATTGTTTGCTCTGCATATTTTTTAATAGGAAACATCCCTGTAATTTAGTTGAGCAGTACAACACAAATGTAGTGCTGAGCACTGGACTTTAAAATAGTCAATGTGCTTAAAAAATGTTAATTTTTAAATCTGATCGTTAAGAGGTAGAAAGCTTGCAGAAGTCTCAAATTCCCTGCTACTATTTCATTTTCATTATTGAAACTTCTGATGGCTCATGAAAAATAGCAAACAATCCTTTTGAAAATTCCTTTAACTTTCTCAATAATATGCCCTTTCTTTGAGAAATACAGTTATACACCACTACATGTCCAGTTCTTAAAGTTCACACAAAATAAAATATCTGTGTCTATTCATCAGCAGAACATACTTTTCACGGAGTTCTGCTTCTTTTGCAACAGTCTCTTGCAGCATCTTATTATGTCTTTCCAGCAGGGTGTCGTGTTCAGACTGCAGTGCCTGGAGTTCAGACGCATTCATCTGTGAGTTATGCTGAGCATCTTGCAGCTTAACTTTAAGTTCATCTATCACCATTTCCAACTGTTCTCTGCACGTGGAAAAAAAAGAAATACACGACATACATTTTAAAATAATTACAGAATAATTCAGAACCTATACTATATAAACAACATAATAGATAGCTGATCCAAATTGCTTATTTATTAATTAAATCAATACAGCACCATGACCAAAATATCTTAGAATGTGACTACAGAAGAAGCAATTAGCAAAGTTCTGATCCTGTCTCAATCTAAGAACAAATAGGTTTACCACATCCCATCTGAACCGCTGGGAATGCAACTACTGGGGTAGAAAGAGTGACTGATATCACTTTCTACTTCAAGCTGGTTTGGGGGGACAAGACAGAAGGACAATAATATGTGGGATTCAGCTGGGAGAAAAGATTTCTTCTTAGAAGTGGTAGAGGCTTTTTTTTTGTTTGTTTAGTAAATGCACATCAGTTCAATGAGACCAAATACGGGGACAAATGGTTGGAGTATATTTTGAGCAAAGTACTAGGAAGCAAGATCAAATTTATAAAAACAGATAAACTCAGTTGGTCAGAAACAAATCAAAATTAGATACACAAGGAAGAAAGAGTCTTAAGTGACATACATTCTCTTTTTATGCTTTCTGTATTTATATATGCAGACATCTCCATTATCTTATAAACTGTATATCTCATTAATCTTAGAGTTGATACTTATAAATAATTTCTTTGGAACCATTTCTCATCTGTTTATTGCTTGACCAATTTGTTTCCAAGCTGACTCTCTTCTCACAAAAAAAAAAAACAATATTAAAACTTACAAAAATTCTTCAAAAAGGAGACACACAGAAATGCAACTGTTGCAGTTTACTTGCTTCAAAGACAGGAAGTTTTTTTTAAAAACCCCAAACCAACTGCAAAGCCAAAGTCCTCTAACAAAGCACAAGTCGCCCTCTGGTGGATTTTTGGCTGCAATTGTAGATACTGTTTGAAGATGGTCAGAAATGAATTTTGACATCTCACAAAGAAACACCCAGTCTGTCATCAAGGGCAGCCATCAATGACTTATAACAGTAACTTACAGAAATTGATCGAATTTTACAGTGAATTGAGACACTTTCCAAAATGAATTTGAATTTACCTGTCTTATTACTATAATTAAAAGGATTTTCAGAGACCTTTTGGAAGTGTAACTTTTTCCTCCAAGTCTTTCCTCATGCAGCAGCTGATTCAACAACAGTATTTCATAAATCTGCTAGAACTGATGACTGAATTGGCAGCCAGAACTTTACCTACACTAAACCACTCATTCCTGAAAAAGTTCAAAGTGAACTCAGCTGAACTGTACCAACCTGCTCTTTCCTTCTTAGTTGCAAATGGCACTTGGCTACAATACTTCATGACTGAGAAAATGACATGTCAAGTCTACACGGAATATGCTGGCTAATTTCTGCTCATGAGATTCCTATGAAACTTCCTAACACCTTACTTCCCCCCTCTGGCTGAAATGACAGGTTACACAAAAGTAACGGTTAAAAAGATAAATCCAGGCATTAGAATAACAGAGTACCACCAGGGTAGAAATTGATGATATTTCTTCTGTTCAGCTTGGCAGAGCCACAGTTAGATTAAAAAAAAACCTAAACCGACCAAACAAAAAAAATTCAAACCAAAGTAACTGGGGAAGCACACTGCCACCCTTCTGATATTTTCCATATTGAAGCAAAGAGCTAATCAGTGGAATTCCCTTGTGGGTCAGAAATTAGCAAAGGCAAGCTCAATAACTTTGAGTGTCCGTATTTTTCTGTATGCATATAGAAATTTTAGTTTTACCTCTCTTGTTTGGCTCCTTCAGACTCTGTCCGAGCAGCAGATTTATTCTTTTGCTGTTTTAGAACATTATGAACACGGACTTTGTAGCTTTCAAATTCTGACGTAACAGATGCTTGTTCAGCCTATCACATAGAAAACAAACTCTTAACCAGTTATGCTGTTGTGTATTGCTCCCTTATTTCTCTAAAATGAAATGCATTTTACATAGGGAAAAAAAAATAAAACCACATGCTGCATTTTCTTCTTTTAAATGGATAATTAAAACGGTGACTACCATAACAGATCATGTTTCTTTAGACTTTGAGTATCACAAAATGTGAAACTTGAGACACTAATTTTCAACATACTAGTATTAAAGAAAAGAAAGAATACCTGAAAAATAAAAAACTGCATTCAACTGAGAGATTCAAAAGCAAAGGGTTCTATCAACAGCTTTAAATGAAGGCAAATGTGAAGGAAAAAAAGGGCAGATAATTCCGTTTCCCTCTTATACTGCTGAGGTGACAAAAATCTAATATGCTTTAAAGTTTTGCATAATTCTGAGGAGTTAAATCAGTCTTGCAGTGGTATTACAAAGCATAAGATATAATATTTTAGTTGATTGTAAAGGTGTTTGGTCTGTCTTTTCTTCTAAATTCAGCTGATACCTGAGTTTCAGAAAATTACATCACAATATAGTAGCTTTATCCTTGACTGTACACTATACAGCAAGAATTATTCCCATCCTTCAAGTACTCTTGTTGTATTAGTCTAGAAAGGCCACGGATGCACATTTTCTTTCTCGGATCTTAGGACAAGCTCATGGATTCAGTAGTCACCCCCAAGATAACTAAAATGCTCTCACCTTCAAAAGGAGGATTTCGGAAAGTTCAGCTATTACTTACCTGCAGGTTGCACACCTACCATACACCAGAGACCATAAAGTAGTACAGTAATCTCCATAAAGGAAGTTTGAACATAGCAGTCCTACTATATTCTGAATCTGTCTCCAATGCAAACACTACATTCTAGGAACATTTAACACAGTGCCGTATGGACAAAACCCCCCGTAAATAATAAAAAAACCTCAGCAATAGTGTAAGTTTTGCATGTAGTTCAGCTGCCAATTAAGAAGCTGCTCAGATTTCAGCATATTAAAAGGTGCTGGCAAATATATTTTTCACAGCTTTTTTTTTATTTCTTGAAGTAGTATCTGTGTTAGCTGGTTTTATATGAAGCAAATTATATTCCTTTTTTTTTGTTCTCCCCTTTTCTTTAAAGACTCCTCTTTTCCCTGACCGTGTACTTGCTGATCATCTTAAATAAACTTCAACTCCTCACTATGACTACAAGGTTTTCCCTACTGGAAATATACATGTGCAGTCCAGATGTTCCACAAGTGATACATGACAACCAGGACATAGTCCTTTATACCACCACTCAATACTTTAAGCAGTGGGATAATTCCCAATTCTTGACAGACAAAAAGAGAAGAGTAAGGTCTGCAAAGTATTTTTAGAGAAGCAGACAGTGAGTGCAGTAAACCTCCCTTCCAAAGTCTCTAAGATTACTTCTCCCACTAGAGTACCTGGGCTGCTCTGCACTCTTCTTGCAGGGTTGCAATTTTTTGCTGGCAAGCACTCATCGTACGCTGGTGTTGCTCCGAAGACGTTCGCAGCTGTTCCTGAACTTTATGCTTTTCTGATGTCAGCACAGCCACTTGAATCTGAAAAAGTCAGTTGCAAACTGAACTATAACAAAAAGTTTTCTTCTCCAAGGGGACATGCCACTAAGAACACAGAATTCTACTACAGTAATTCCTGCACAGAATTGGTGAAAATTAAAATCCAATAAAAATAGAATAAAAAATAGACATGGCTTACCATGTAATAATTTTTAATAAAATTATGTCGCTTAAAGAGACAATTCAAGATAAAATTATGATGGTGGTGTGGCAGCATTTAAGAAAGCCAGCCTCTCTCACTTCCCTGCTACTTTCATTACATTCCATTCCTATTCTGCCCAACTGATAAAATTTATACAGTCAGACAACACTTGAGATTTTTGCTATATGTTATGTTATTTTGTTTTTAAACTGAATAATTTCCATTTTTAAAGAATCATTTTAAAACATATCCCGGTTGCAAGCTTCAAACTCCATAGTCCTCTCTTTTGCTGGAAAGGGAAAGAGGAAAAAGACTGTGCAAATCTGTTTAAAGAAAGCCACAGGGAAAATATCTGGGGAAAGCAACAAAGAGACAAAACTAATTTAAGAAACAATAACCTAGTAGTAAAAATAACACCTTTTTGTTCTTCAGCCTATATTCCGTTTGCCCGTAAAAATCACACACTTATTACTTAAATGAGAAAACCTTACACTAAAAAAAAGTGAAGTTTCTTGCCTTATAGGCTTCCACTTGCTGTTGAGTGGCTTCCAATTCCCCTTTCAAGGATTCCTGCAACATTAGATGATCATTTTCCTGCAAGATAAAAATTACACAAACCTCAGCAACTTAATAATTCAGCTACCAGCCTGTTTTTTAAGGTTAGTTTAAAAATGGAACACACAGTCAATTAACATCGGGGGACTTACAGCTTGTTTTGAATCAGCCAGTTCTTTTTTGGTTTTTACTAGGAGTTGTTTTATCTTGGCATTTCTTTCCTCATCCTGTTGCATAGTTGACTGAAGGAACTCTAATGCGGAAAACAACAGTTTTATGCAAAGGAAACTTCCCCTCCTGTATTTCCTTAAAAATACTGAAAAATATTTAAGCAAATTCTGACAGATTCCTTAAGAGCTGCAAACAAGTAGCTTACAGTAAGCTTGGTATCCTTTGTCTAAGTTATCATAAAGATCTTCAAATAAATGAAACGGTTCTAAGACTTATACTTAAGGATAGGAAGAAATTAAATTTTAATTTCTAGTCAAGTTTTATGAATGTGATATATTAGGATGAAACCCATCAACAACATTCAGAACTTATGATTAACTTAATCAGGTAGGAAACAGTATATCAGGCAGGCAAATTGGCTTTTAACTGCTGAATACTGGATGATAACCTAGTAAAGTTTCCTTAAAGTCAAAATTACTTTTCCAGTGTAACTGTTTAGTATTCCCTGCAAACCTAACTCTCACTCATTGACTTGAAAAGTTGTTTCTGAATTTCATTTTTTACCATTACTAACTATACCATAGTGACTCTTGCTGTTTATAGTTTACTCACTTATTTCTTCCTGTAGGGTCTCTTGCTTCTGTTTCTGAATACTCGTTTCTTGCTCAAGATCTTCTATTCTGCTGTCTTTATCAGTAATCTTCTGATTAAGTTCTTTTACCAGCCTTTCATAATCAGCTATTTCCATATCCATTAGTGTACTCTTTTGAGCATCCTGCAAGTTACACATGAAGAAGCTAGAGCTTACAATTTGCTTTGTCTGCTAAGGCTTTTTAATTATATAAAAAAACGATATTGCACATCTAACAAAAATTTTTTCACTATCCATATCCACAAGCAACACCCATCCCTCGGGTTTCCATATCCTCAGCAAATAATCTGTTTTCAGACAGTAACCAGAAGCTTTGAAAAACCTGTTTCTATTTTTTAAGTTTTATCAGTAGGTATTTTTTAGATATTATTTTTTGTCAGTGTCAGTCCTTAAAACAAGGGCAGTTTCTGAATAGTGCACTATATATGTACCCCAGACATCTAAATTCGCTTCCTATTTCTACCCAAGACAGGTCACATAACCCAAGTTAAAACAAACAAAAATAAAAAATAAACCCATCAAAACCAAACCTAAAAGTACACGTCAGCTCTCCAGTACAAAACCAGGGGCAAAAGCTCTCACGTTTTCCCTTTTACACACCTCAGGCTTTAAAATCCTCTGAACAGAACGGGAGGACATTCAACACAGCAAGATAGGCCAAAATCTTTGGTAGTCCACTAAGCACTAACAAAAACACCAGCCCTACCTTTCTGGCCAGCTCTAGTTCTAACATAGTTTTCTGCAGATGTTTCTTTTCCTTCTGAAGTTGCATCTGAAGCTCCTCCATTTCTCGGAGAGCACCACTATGTTCCTGAAATTTAAATACTTCTCAGTTATGCAGTCCAATTTCAAAATAGATGTCAGCATCTGTTTATACTTATAGACACACATACACACTTAGGTTGTATAAAGATAATTCTTCCTTTTTTTTTAGGAAATTACTAGGAACCAGAGAAAAACTCAAAATAGTTTTCAATAAACGCAGTCAAGGAACACAAAGAGAAAGCATGGAACTTGATTTATAAAAACACAAGTTACCAAGGTCTAACAGAAATCACATCCAGTGAAAGTAACGCTTCAGCCCATTCACTATCTCGACAAAGTACTACCTTTGTTTTCTGTTCTCTTAAAAGCCTTTCAGCTTCTAGTTCTTTGTCAGCCTTTGCCTTGGCTCTTTGCATCTCCAATATCTGAGTTTCCAGCAGCTTAGCATTATTTTGCAGTGTTTCAACACGAGCCAGGAGGTCTTCATTAGCAGAGTGTAATTGATCATGCTGAAATTGTAATCATGAAAAGATAAAAAACATAGCTGAATTTGTGTGTGATTTTGTCAGATAAGATATACACTCCTACAGATGAGTCTTGTCCAGCTTAATTGTGTTAAATCAGATTAAGAAACAGGCTAAAACCAGGCTAAATTAAAGTCACTAGCACATTTTGATTATTTTGTTCAGAGTTAATTTGCCCAGCTTTCTGTATCATGGCTAGAATTAAAAGAAATCAGAAAAAAACCCCCCCAAATTTATGCTTTCTGCAAGAATCACCTTCCTCTCGCAATAATACAACGTTTCAATATTTATTGTCCCACTCCAGATACAGGTGCTGTATTTATAAACAAATGATCATACTACTAACACCTAAAAAGATTGAACTGCAAGCCTTGATTGAACCACTAAGTCTTCCAAGAGATCATATCAGTACATAGTAAGAACAGTTTCTTCGTAACAAACTTGAAAAATTCAATGCCTGCATAATCAGGCAGAGTATAATTTCTTATATCTTCCTATGTTTCTCACTACTGGTTTGTATTTATAAGGAAATGGTGGCCTAGCTAAATCTTCAGTGTATGGGGCCTGGAATTTAAATCCTAAATACTAAACCCATTGCAGCCACCCTTGCAAAAATGTGTCTCACAGCTGCTTAATTACCATCTTAGACTCTTCTGAATGATACTATGGTACTCTACAATGCATCCTAAAGTCTCATCCTTGTGAAAAATGCAAAACACCATAATTAATTTAGTATGTTCAAATATACTGTTGATTAAATGAATAAAAAAAAAGAGAAAAATACCCAAACCCACATTTTGTTGAAGAAACAGAAGAAAAACATTTCTCAGATAAAGGTTACTGCACTTCATGAGAAGTGTAGCTGTGCAATCAGAGAAATAGTGCAAGTTTGATACTTGCAGAAGAGTTGTATGCTTAAACAAACCCAGAGATAAACACTTGCTCTTTCCTGTAAGTTGACCTGGAGCAGATTAAACTCTTTCTACTGACAAAGCCAAACACCCTAGATATATTTACCTTTGTCATGGCCCAGGTAAGATATCAGATGTTGAAAAAGAACAAACAAACCACCCTGAATTACAAGTCACTATTCAAAACGGACTTAGGCTACGAAACAGTGCTAACAATGACATGATTAAAACTTACACTCAGTAGATAGGATTTTTACAGTAATCATCAATGGATCAGACCCACATACAGAACTGACCTGCTGGGATGACGCCTGTAGCTGTCTTGTGAGGTCATCTATCTGACGTTCAAGATTATTTGCTCTGCCTTTTTCAGAATCCAGCTGTTCTCCTTGCTTATCATATTCCATCAAAAGATTCTTAACACATACAAACACAAAATCAATTTTTTTTTTACAATACACATATTGCATAAGCACATTCATCTCAGAGGCCTACTCGTCTTCCTGATATTTCAGTATATGAGTCGTCTTACTGCAACACCAGAAACATCACAATGAAATTAATGCTATTATTCCACTACAAACTCTGGGAAAAACCCTTTTCAGGCAATGAAATTCTGGAATAGTTCAGGTTGGAAGAGACCTCAGCAGGTCTACATTCAACCTTCTGCTTAAAGTAGGGTCAGCAGTGACCTGTAACTCAGACTTTAGTCCAATCAGGTCTTTCCAAGGATGGAGATGGCACCAGTCCCCTGGGCAACTTGTTCTAAAGCTCAAGCATCTCATAGGCTAAAAATGTTTATCCATGTATCCAGCTCTCATTTCAATTTTGGACTACTGTCTTATCCTGCACCACCATTTATAACCTGATTCTCTGTCCTTGATAATGTCTTTGTAGGCACTGGAAGGCTCCTGTTATGTTCCTCCTCATAAGTCTTACGAGGAACAGCTTTCTCTTGTTGAAGCAATGCTGACTGTCACCTGCTTCTGCTTCATGTGCCCAGAGATATGCTCCCAGAGAAATATTAGTTCATGTCTTTATCACTTAAGGATTTTCAAACTGATCTTCAACTTTATGTACTTTGAAGAATTTGTCAGGATTTATGTTTTGCCTCAGCAACACATTGCTTAATGTCTGATGTCTGATGCTAGATTCAAAAGGTTTAGAAACAGCATTCCAGTAGAAAGCAAGTGCCTTCTTTTCTTCTGACAGCAGTCAATTCCATTACTAGAACCTTACATTTCTTGATTTTGGTATCCAACTGCACTGACACAATTTCTTTTGCCAAACATAGTTGTGCAAATAAATAGCAATAAATATCCAGGCTAGGTTTCAACACCAAAGTATTTTCTTATAGTTAACTGTCTTGAAAATGCAGTACTATTCTTACCTTATAGCTTTCAGCTCCTTGAATAACGTCTTTCATTGAAGCAGACAACTGATCTTTTTCTGATCGAACCAACTCCAATTCTTCGTTCAGAGCTTGCATCTTATTAAAAAGAAGTTGTGTCATTAAAACAGAACCCCACATGCAGAATGTTCTTCATATTAGGAAACAGTTAGGGTACCTCTTTTCGGCTGGCATCTAATTCCTTCTTTGCTTTCACAGCAACCACCTTAATTTTATTTAGCTTCTCTCCTTTTTCTGCAGATTCTTTTTCCAGCCTCCCTAAAATAAATAAATAAGAAAATTAAAAAAATACACCTTTCTATTTCTTCCCAAGAAATGAAATGAAATGAAATTCAATTAGAACACAAATATCAGCATGAATTTAAAAGCAAACAAAATATAAAGGGGAGATGTTCAAGTGTTTGATTCAGTTAAACATTTAAATTTAATTTCAAGCTAAAACATGGACACAGACAGCTTAGGGACAATCTTTCCCTGTTTCAGAGGCTTTCCATCACAGTTAACATTAAGAGCCATATTCCTGTCTACTTCTACATAAATTTTAACAACTCAGAACCATTTTCTTGCTAATGTGTTGGGATAACTGCAATGAGGCAAGAGTAGTTTTCGTGAAGTATTGTTTCCTTCTCCTCTTGGCAACCTTAGGAATTCTTATTCACACACTTCCCATATTTAAAAAATAAAGATTAAATCCACTACACTGTTTATAGCCAGATGTACACAGGAAGAAAAAGCCTTAAGAAATATCATATCATATCCAACTTAAAATTGCTAACAATATTTTAAATCCCTAGTGGAAGGAATAGCTTCCTAGTAGGAATCTGCACTGATATGTACTTCCCCATCTTCCTTGGCTTGTAGGAAATATAGGACAATTATGAAAAGAAAAACTAACAATCCAAAGAACCTAAACCATTTATATAAAAGAGAACAGTGAGAAAGATACCAATTTTTTCTTGAAGTTCTGCTACTGAAGACTGTTGATCAGTTTTCTCAGTCATTGTCTCCATTAAATTCTGTATCATAAACAAAGACATAAAAAGTATTACAAAAATTTCTTTGTGATATCTCTTTTTTCCCTAACAAGCCATTAGAAGTTCCAGCTACAGCTAAAACTGTCTACATTCGTACTACCAAGAAAGTCTTTAAGAGAAATTTTGTTGAAAGCATAGTTACTTGAAAGCAAAACATTCCAACGTTTTAACAGCTGCCTTCCATTCTGTCCAAGGACAAAAAATGGGAGACCATTAATTCTGCAGCTGTCAGTTTTACACAGCCAGCAATTCCCATGACCTGAAGTTAGGAGTATCTAATGCAGATTAAGCAGAAGTTTTGTTTGAGATGGAGTCATAGAAAGTTAGAGGCGAAAAATGATGAAGTCAGTTAGTCCATCTAGGCAAATGATCGCTTTGAGGGCTATTGATAGGAACAAAGGTTCAAGTACAAGTAACTTTTGTCAAAAAAAAAAAAAAAATTATGATTGGTTTTGTTTCTTTTTTTTTTTTTTTTCAGGGGGAGGGAGGTGACTTTGAGGTGCTAGATGGGCTTTCCAGAAGGGGAACTCACTTTCAGGCCAAGGGGAAAAAAAATAAAAGAAGAAAAGAGAGAATTGAAAGTATTTTTTGAACCTTAATTCTGAAGACTTTAGAGGTTTAGTCTGTATACTTCAATAACAAAATATAACCTTTAGAGAACTCAGTTCGTCTTTCACATTTCTAAGTTCAGTTTCCTTTTGTTCCAGAATGCAACTTAAGTCGTCTTTTTTTTCTGATCCTTTTTCCTGTTCTTGTATTGGACTTTCATAAAAAGCAAGTTTTTGAGTGATCTCTTCAATATTAGCTAAAAGATCTTGATTTTCAATCCTTGTTTTCTCACTGGCATTCTTCAACTCCTGAATATCATGCTGAAGAGCTTCCTTTTCAGACAATACTCCTTCCAGTTCCTCTCTCAAGAGAGCCTTTTCTTTTTCAAAATCCTGAATCAGGGACCTATGTTCTCTATATTGAGCAGCATGTTCTTCCTCTAGTCTCTCAACTTCCCGCTGCAAATGAATTACTTCCTCCTCATTTTGTAGAGCAAGGCACTGCTTTTCTTTAATTTTTGACAAGCATTCATTTGCAATTTTTAACAAGTTAAGAGAATCATATTCTTCATTAGAATCTGAAATGTCGGACCCCATTTTCTCAACTAGGTGGTACAGCTGAGTTCTTACAAGGGACGTATGCCTTTCTTCATTTTCAAGTAATGTTGATACATGGTCTTTTTCTGCAGTCATCATTTGTAGTTTCTTTTCTAAGTTTTCAGACTGCTCTTTCAACACTAACCAACCATCTTTTTCAGATGTAATCTTTCCCAGCTCTTCACTTAATTCACCTTTTTCCTGAATTATTTTCTTATTTTCCTCATGAAGAGTATACACTTCAGATGAAAGCTGCTCTCTATCATGTACCAGAGATTCAATCTGTTTTTCCAGTTGCTCTAGCATTCGAGCATTTTCAGTCTTTGTAGTTAAAGCTTCATTCAGTCTCTCTGTTAATTCCTCTACCTTTTTCGTCAGGTCATTATTGTTCTGGTTAGCAACATCTACTTTTTGCTGAAGTTCCTGAATTTTAACTTGTTCTTGCTTGCACCTTTCCTGAAGGGTTTCTCTCTCTTCACCCAAACATTTTACATCATTTAAAATATCCTTGTTTTGATCAGTAAGAGCAACTATCTTCTCTTCCAGTTCTTTTACAGTAATCTCTTTTTGGTTGATGGAGCTTCTTATTGCGTTATTGTCCTCCTGAAGACTAACAATTTTGCATTTAAGTTCTTCTATCTCTAGCTGATTAGATGGCAATTTTTCTATTTCTTCCTGGAGGCGATTTACAGTTTCAAGAAGAACATCCCTTTCATTGAAAGCAGCTCGGAGTTTCTGTTGCAGTTGACTGACATCAGAAGCTTGCTGTTGTTTCATTGATTCAAACTCCTGGCTGATCTTTCCAGCAGATTCGCCTAGCTCAGCCTGGAGAGTTTCCATTGTTTCTCTCAGGCTATTGTAATTGGACACTGCTTCTTCTTTCTCCTGAGTTAGCTTTTCAAGTTGTTCTCTAAGTTCCTGTATTTCAAAAACTAATACCATCTTTTCTTTTTCAGAACTAGATAATAAAGTTTCATTTAATTCAGAAATTTCTGTCTTGTGTTGCTCTTTCAGAGTTTGAATCTCTAATTTATGCTCTTCTACATCAGCTTCATAGTGCTGTCTTGCTGCTTTAAGCTCCAATTTTAGTTTTTCAATTACACAGCAGTAATCTTCTTTAGTAAGCTGCAATTCATTTATCTTAAAGTCCAAATCTTCCCGCTCATGAAAGTACTCATCCTTTATGCGATGGATTTCCTCTTCCAGCTTTAGTTTGACATTGCTCATGTAAGTTAACTCATCTTTTAATATACTATGTTGGGACTGGAGTTCTTCTAAACTATGCTCCAGGTACCTAACCTTTGCTTCCATTTTTGCTTCTATATAAGGTTCTTCTGGTGTATCTGCAATATCTATCTTGTTTTCTACATTTTTATTTAAGACTTCTCTCAGCTGCTCCAAGTCGTATTCGCGCTGGTCAGTATGACAATGCATTTCATCCTTTGCATTTTTCTCTGCCAAATTGTGCTGTAACTCATTTATTTGATTTTGCTTTTCTTCATTTTCTTTAGATGATATTTCAATCCGATGCATCAATTCTGACACCTCTTCCTGATGGGCAATTTTTAATTTTTTAAGCTCTTCATTCAGATTTTTTATTTCATTATGGTAACATTGAGAGTTGTTTTTAATAGTTTCTTGCAGACTTGTCACTTCTTTGGTTTTGTCTTCATTCACAGTTTCCAATTGCTTGCTCAGACACAAAATTTGCTCCTCATAGGTAGATTTCATTCTCTGGACATCATCTTGTAATCTTGTAACTTCTTTTTGACTGTCACTATGACGTTCAACCTGTTCCATCAGCTCCATTTGTTTTTTCACTTGTTCATCTAATTCCATTTTCAGCTTTTTTAAATCCTCATTGTGCTTGCATTCTGCATTTGCTAATTCACACTTCAAAGCTTTTATTTCTTCCAGAGAGTCAATACTTGATTGTTCCAGTATTTTCTGCAATTCTTCTGTCTTAGCCACTGCAGCCTGAACAAACAAGGAAGTTATTAAATACTGGTAATGTAGCATACAGAATTTTCAAATGAACTGTTTACAATAACAAATTAGAAAATATAGGAGTCCTTAGTCTTAAAAATTGCTATAGTTTTTAAATATCTAACTATATTAAGACAATTCAAACACTACAGAGTACAAGAACGTTTGCAGAATGAGAAAAGAAAACTACATCCTAAATCATGTTTACCAGAATAATTTCACAAAATGTTCATAACAGACTTCGGCTTTAGCAATTATCCTGATAACATATTAAAGATCAAATTACTTTTAGTACATCAAATTCAAGTATCTGGAATATAATATTGTTCATCAATCGCAAGCAATTCACTCTTCATTTTATTATTAATTGAGATTATTGATATAAGATAGGTGCCTTGGCTGACAGGCTCCTTCTCATGAATATCTAAATGTAAACCTCATATCTCCCATGAAAAGACAGAGCTGAATGATTGAAGCCATAACATATGTAGGCTGCTAATGCAGAGACTGAATTCTTTTTGCAGGTGTGGATCTAGACGATGTATATATGAATTTCATATTTATTACTATGGATTAGGGGGTACAGAGAAAATATGCTTTAATATACGAAGCCTTTAGATCTTTTTAGATTTTTTAAAAGATCGAACACAGGTAAGTGAAGAAAAAGGTCAAAACTAAAAAACCACAACAAGCAAACCTAGAAAATAAACAGAATTCTGAAATATTTTTGTAATATTCCATGACTCATTTCAGTACCTCCCCTTCTTGCTTTATTTGAATATTTTCTTTTCTCAGAGCTATGCACTGCTGCTGACTTTCAGCTTTTTCCAGAAGCACAACGTCCAGTCTTTCTGTGAGAGCCTAATATTAAAAGAGAAAGATCACTGAAAGAGGGGTTTGTTAACAATGGAAACAATGATTTCTGAAAAATGTAGGAACTTACATATTGATTATGACCCCTTTTGTCAATTAAACACATCAGTCTGATTTTAAAAATTACTTTCAGCCCAAATAAGACTGATATGAAATAGGTAGACTAAAACAGTGATGTTGGTTCTGTTAAAAATCCTACTTGTGATCAGCTAATTTTTAATCACCAGGTGGTGGTGGGGAAGTTTGCCTTCTGTAGAAATGTCCCTCCAAATTATTCAAAACGATTCTCCAACTGATAAAGTCCTCCTCACTACCAATTTTCACTTTCATATGCTATGACCCTTACATTGAAAATGACATGTTCTTGCCACATCAAAACTATTCGAGTTACTTTCCTAAAAGTACTTCTTGTGACATGCAACTTTAATTATGTATTTCTAATCTCATCAAATGACTGGCCCAGAAGTTTTCTAAATGGCTGAAGTCTTTCTGCAATGATCATTCCAAAATAAACAAAAGCCTGTCTAACCAGCTACACAAGGAAAAAGTCTTGCTGGGGACATTTACAGAATTGTTTGAGTGGGAAGGGACCTTCAAAGGTGATCTAGTCCAAACCTGCTGCAATAAGCAGGGAGTATCTTCAACTCCATCAGGTTGCTCAGAGCCTTGTCCAACCTGACTTTGAATGTTTCCAGAGATGGGGCATCTGCCACCTCTCTGAGCAACCTTTTCCAGTGTTTCACCACCCTCCCTGCAAAAAGCTTCTTCCTTGTATCTAATCTAAATTGACCCTCCTTTAGTTTAAAACCATTGCCTCTTGTCCTATCACAAAAGGCCCTGCTGAAAAGTTTGTCCCCATCTTATAAGCCCCCTTCAAGTACTGAAGGGCCATGATAAGTTCTCCCTGGAAATTGTACTATTCTGTATAATTCCTCACAGAACCAATAGGATTTATGACAAGTGGAGGAAGGACTTGGGGAGAGGAGGGAAAAAAAAAAAGGTTTTATATTCCTGAAAATTGATTCCATGCAATTTAAATAATAGTTTTAAAGCTATTTATCAAATTATTTCTGTGGATTTATTTCAGCTGACTTTATGTAATACAGTAGAAACCCATTACATATTCCTACCTGAATAATATCATCAGCTCCTGCAGTAGCTGCTTTAGATCTGAGTTCTTCAATCTCTTTCTCCAGTTCTCAAAAAAGCAAAGAAATTTCACAGCATGAATTGATGCTCCATCACAGTAGCAAATCTCTAGGAAATCCTAGTAAATCTAGTGCCTAACAACACTTCTATTCAAATCAGAGATATCTTTTACTTCATCAATTTTTATTTGTTACTGAGTGATAGAAAGGACTAATGGAAAGAGAACAAATATTCAGTATTACTTCTCCAGTTCTGACACTGAGCATTGTTTTCTGAGGAAGTGAAACTTCCTTGTTTGGACAGAGGGACAACAGACAGAAATTCTTCTCCTTCGTCTTACCTTCTATTTCATGATCAATTTAAGCCAGAGGAAAGATACTCAGTACCTACTGGTTCTCTGAACATGGCATCAGGCAGAAAAACAAGATCTTATGAATAACCTCACTGAGGAAAAGCCTGGTATAGCCCATCCCTATATCCTTATTGTTTCACTGGGCAGCTACCAGCAGTCAACATAATTAATTAATTGTAATTCCAAACGAGGGGAAGTGACACAAGTCTGAGTAGTGGACCACTGGAGGAAAGGGGACAGCAGAGCAGAGAAGGGCAGCACATGACAGCACAGATTTACACAGGGTACTTTTAGGTGGTTAACATAATATTTTGTTTTGTGTGGTTTACAATTTCTTGTTATAGCAGCAGATCATAGAATCATAGAATCAGCCAGGTTGGAAGGGACCTCTGAGATCATCAAGTCCAACCCTTGATCCACTACCACTGTGGTTACTAGACTATGGTACTAAGTGCCACATCCAGTCTCATCTTAAAAACCTCCAGGGACAGAGAATCCACCACTTCTCTGGGCAGCCCATTCCAGTGCCTGATTACTCTCTCTGTAAAGAATTTCTTCCTAATATCTAACCTAAACCTGATTAAGTATAAAGTAGCTAACTATCTTAAAGAAGTCATTGTGCTCTACAACAGTACTAATTATGCAAAAAACTATCAGAGACATTCCCCCTTCCATGTACTTCCTGAAAAGCAACAGCTATTTATCCCTGCACCAATACGGGGAACAGAAAATGACATGTCCTACTGCAACTTTTACACAAGCTACACTGTTCCGTCATGTCCATACTGCCAGATCAAAATTAATTTAATATCTGACAAAAGCAATGCTTCTTTTTCTTCCCATTCTTACTCAAAGAACTTCAGACCCTATCCATCCACAATAAACAGCGAAACTGCAGAAAAAAAAATCTAGGATATTTGTCTAGGATTTAAATCTACCTACAAAAAAAACATGCAGTGATATTAGAAAAGGTAAGATAGTACCAAGCATTAAGGTAGAAATTGTTCTCTTTCCAGTAAGGTACCTGTACATCTTGACTTCACTTTCTGTATAAGCATCATCTGCTTTTTTGCAAACTTAATGAGGTCTTCTTTGGGCAATGTGTCCAGCTGTAAAAAAAGTACATATTAGAGAAATCAGTTTTCTCTAACCCAGACATTAACAGAGACAGGGCATTTTAACATCTGACTTCCAAGAAGCTGAATTTTAGGGCAAGAAACTCTTACCATGCATATGCAAGAAGAGTAACAGTCCAAGTTACTGCTGTTCTGTTATCCAATTCTGTTATTCTAAGTGCAATAACAGAAACTACTCCTAATTGTATACTTTTCTGAAATAATTCTAGAGCACAGAATTGGGCAGCATCAGTTAGAGACGAAAACTCAGTTGGGAAGGATTAAAATTCAGTAATATAATTTGAACAATGTTTTGAAAATAGCATGCTGTCCTAATATTGCCATTTTTTAAATTTACTTCCAACATATGCAAAGATGTGTGTGACCATTGTGAAACGGACTACTGCCAAAACTGGATGCTATTAATAATTTATCAAATATAACAGAAGGGAACATATAAAGAAGAGATTTTTTTCCTCGTGTTTTCCAAGACACCTTATCCTAGTGTTTATAAATCAATTTTTCCTGTCTAGAAGATAGGAAACGTTAAAAATACCTTTATGTCTTCATATGAGTCAGAGCTTGCATGCTAAGCTGTAACTCTTTCAACTATTGCTATCCAAATAAATTAAATTTTTGAGGACTGATTACCTTTGATTTGCCTGATCCTGGTGTGCCAGAAGACGCCACCATCTCCTGCCCAGCATCTTGAACCTATAAAAAATAAAGTACAATCTGCAGTAACTAACTTTTTAATGTAAAATTACTTAAGGAGCTAATTGAAAGTCTTCAAACACTGAGAATAACTGAATATAGTGAGAGTACAAGAAAAAAATTAAAATAAAATTTAAAAACAATATATATTTGTAGGACTAGTCAGAAGCATAATGGAAAAGAGATACCACGATTACTAGAACAGCAGAATAGAAAAAAATCTCGATGTGCAAACCGGTATGATCTAATGATTCCATTACTGAACTGACATCTAGAGTTGATACAGCACTGAAAAATAATTTTATTTACAAGCAGCTTAAAAAGTGTGACTCACTATCTCATTCTTAAAAGAGACATTAAAAAAAAGGCATGAACAACAAAAAAAAAAACTTGTAGAGGGGCTGCAGTTAAATCAAACTTTGGGAAGTTTTGAACCACATAAAGTCCTAATATTTTTTTTTGTTTCTTAAACACATTGGTTATTGCTAAAATTGTTGGCCTAACAAATTACATTTGAAAAGACTCTGCAAAGTTAGGACTCTCTTAAACCCCAAATTATAACTCCCCCTTTCTGTTTTTAAACATACTAGTTACTGCTAGAATTGCTGGCCTGACAAATGTATCTGAAAAAACTCGCTAATTCTGGGCTCCCTATTCCTAACAAATTCATAATGCCTTCTACTGTAAACTTCCACAGATCTAATCTGTGGGACTCTTGTTATTTTACTGTGATTTATATGAGATATGTTTGCATATGATCAACAACATGAAGAAACATATATAGCCATGATGGTGCGAAGGAAAATGGAACAGACACTTCCAATATATTAAGGGTAGCATTTCCAAGTTTTGATCTTTACCCTGCTTCTTCCTTCATACTATCATATGTGCATGAGTATGAAAGTGAAGAAGCATATGTATATATATAAATATTTGTATTTTTACATATCTACATGTTTGTGTGTGTATGTATGTGTACACACATACCTTCACTTTTATTTTGCTCTTTTCTTTATTCTACCAAAAAAACCAAAACCCTTATAGTAGAAACTAAGGAAAAACTAAACTGGATCTGAACACTATGAGAATGGAGAATCACTAACAATTTAGGGGGAAGAGGTGATACAGATAATAAAAAGGATCATCATTAGAAATATAAGTTCAAGTACAGGCCAAGGACAAAGGCAGTTATACATGTGATGTATGTATCACATGGGCCAAAAGGTGGTTTTTTTTCAGATGGCAAAAGCAAACTTATCAAAAAATAATGTGCCCATTAAACATAAATACAGCATTAAAAAAAGCTATAAGGTTTAAGTTTCATATTCTCTTGGTATATAAAACTTTGTTAATAGTTACACTCAATATTTCAGCAGTGCAATTAGCAAAACACTGTCACTACAAGCAGTCACTGTCACTAGACAGCATAATTAAGTATAGCAAACCACATGTGCTGTTTAGAAAATAACAGCTCATGTCTCTCCATACTACAGCAAGGTCAGATGAATATTTTTCTCACAATATTTTTACTCTTCTTTAAGCTAATACATACAGAGGCAGAACCATATATCATGTAAAACAACACATCCAGTTTTGCTGTTCTGGTAACAGAACCCAGAAGCAGTTCACGTAAAGGGCTTCACCCATTTGAAACAGAAGAACAACAAGGAAGATGAACTGCTAAAAGACCCTAAACTTCTTATTGATTAGGGGCATCCAAGCTGCAAGTCAGCAGACAGTAAGTACTCTTTTAAGCCCAACACTGAATCCTGCAAGGATTTTTAGGTTTCTGGTCCACTATTCTGAAACGAGGGTATGCTTCCATACTTTACTGATACATTCTTTTTTTTTTATTTCAAGCCTACTTGATCTACTCTAAGGTGTTTCCATGCCACACTTCAACATGTTCTATGTATTTTAACTGCTATCTGTCCCTCACTTTTGCAATAGCTTAACACAGAAAAAAAGCCTTAGAAAGCCTAACCAATGCATAAATGCAATATATTAGTCTTTGCTGTGAACTGTGGCAGTAATGACCATTACAAGCAGCAATTTTCTGAGCAGTGTACAAATACTAAGCATCACCAACTCTAAGCGTTCCAAGTCACATCGAAACACTTTTTGAATTGTGATTGCTTCAACAGCGGCACTGAACCTCCATTAGAACGTGAGCAGCTTGGATATTACCAGTAGAGTCAATTTAATGCATGAACTTTAAACTCTTCTACGCTGTATTTGGATTTGCCTTGGTGTTTATGAAAGCTACACTAGATACAGACGCTTCAGTGATTTATTTGCTTGTGTTGGTAGGTATTTCACAGCTGACGTAGTGTTAACACACCGGGTCACCGCAGTGGAACAGGAGTCCTTGTTGGCCCGCGGGTGCTCTCACAGAGTAACCACTCCGCGCACCCGCCGTGTCACCTGAGCGTCACTCCCCTGAGCCAGCACCGCCTGCTCTCCCCCGGCCCTGACAACAGCGCGACGTCCCCACCCCGTAAGCAGGAGGGGCACTGAGCAACCCTCTTGTAGCCCGCACCGGCGCTCGCATTTCCGCAGGGCAGGGCCGGAGCGCCCCTTCCCACCCTGGCCCGGGCGGGCCCCGCACAGCTGCCGCCCACTGGGGCTGCGCCGCCCGCGGGGGCAGCGAGGAGGCGAAGCAAGGGCCCACGGGCTTCCCCGCCCGTCGCTGCGGGCAGGGACCCCGTGGAGGGGGAGGCGGAGGAGAAGGGGCTGGTCCTCACCCTCCCCGGCCCCGCCACGCTGCACCCCAAGGTCACACACCGCCCCCCTCCCCACCCGCTCCAGCTCCCGTTCCCCCCCGAGGGCCCCGCGCCCCCTCTCCCCCAGCCGCGTTACCTCCATGGCGGGGCCGGCCGGCGGCAGGGGCGAGCAGGTCGCGGCGCCGCAGCCGCTGTCAGCGCCGCTACATCCTCCCCGGCCCGCTTCCGCCTCCGTCATCCCGGCACGCCGGGAACGCGGCTCCCGGCCCGCTGCGCTCCGCGTGTCCGTCACCGAGCACCGCCCCGGGGGCGGGCGGGCCCTGTGCCGGGGCGCAGCTGTGCATGGCTGGGTGCCCCGGCGGCGTAACCGGCCTAAGACGGACGTGAACTGGGAAGCGCAGGTAACGCTGGCGAGATCGTGTTCTCCGCCTCATAAAAGCGGAACGGGGATACGGCTACACCACCGCTGTAACCCGCCCTTCCCTGTTCCTGAAGGGCTCCTGAGGGGAACACGGTGCTGCAGGCAGGAGTGTCTCTCGCTGTCACCGTCGGGAGAACATGACGTGAAGAGCGAAGTGCTCAGGCAGAAGCTTGACGATTCAAGACCCTGTTTTAAATATCTTGATGGAAGCAGAGTGATTAAGTTGTTTATCAAGTAAATGCGGCGGGTGACAAGAGGATGGTGCCAGACTGTTTTCGGTGGTGCCCAGCCACAGGACGAGGAGCAATGGCCAGAAACTAAAATATAAGAAGTTTCACCTCAACATGAGGAAGAACTTTACACTGAGGGTGGCAGAGCACTGGAACAGGCTGCCCAGGGAGGTTGTGGAGTCTCCTCCTTTGAAGGCATTCCAAACCCACTTGGATGCGTTCCTGTATAGCCTGCTCTAGGTGACCCTGCCTTTGCAGGAAGGTTAGACTAGATGATCCCCAGAGGTCCCTTCCAACACTAAGTGTTCTGTCATTCTGTAAATTTAAAAACGAAGGTGAAGGACTTCCAGAGCAATTAGCAGAAGCCAGATATTATGGCTTGTAGTTAAGTGTTTTTTAAGAGACATTTCTTATGCCAGTTTGGGTAGGTATTTGAGGGAACTGATAACTACTTTAAAGGGTACACATTTTTCATTGTAATCATGCATGCACTTTGGTAGTGCCTGAATTATTTTTCACATTTCATGATAAGTAATTGATTTTTAATGAGAAGTTGCCTGAGAGAAACAATTTAGGCGTATTTATGGTTCACTGGATAAATACTGAATATCACCAAATTAATTATAATGTCATGAGAGAATATATTTTAATTTAAAAAATGAGAGTCATATTAGTCAACGTGCTGCTCTCAGAAGAATAATTTACATTTTTCCAAGTCCGCTTACAGTCATTCTTTTAAATTGCAAATGGCAACTAATGACAAAAGACAGAAAGGTTTTTCACATATACCTCAGAAATTGTTTCCTTTTTTCTTTTTCCCCTCCAATGCATTCACTGTACATTATATATATTTACTGTGTATTGTAATCTATGCAGGTACACAACTGTGCCAGGAACATATGGTTCCATGGTCACACAGATTGCTGGTGAGGAACAGATGTCCCTAACCAAACAGCAAGAAGCTGTTTTTTCATTACTTCTCTTATACTTTTTAGAAGCCTCATAGGGCATTGAACAGGTTAATTCTTCCTTTCCCCTTCCCCTTTGGGATACTCTGAACCAAGTACCTACACCTGTGCTGCCATGATCTAACATGGGTGTTTGACACAATTTCAAGAAGACCGTTTCTAGATACAGTCCTTCCAAAACCATTCTTAGCTAAAGCTTTTCTACCAAACTATGGAAAACCCTAGAGAAAACAATGTTTCATGCAAATTTGCTCCTTCCATCTGTCCTCAGAAAGTATGTATTATAATCCAGCTCTTGGGTCATCTCATGTCTTAGCCTATAAAGAAATTGATTTTGGAGACAATCCAAGGCAGATAGAAAAGAGTTTTCAGATGTATTTGTACTGAAGACTGGCTCACTCATCCCAGGCTTTTTGGGGATTCTGACTGGGGACTACTCATCCCCACCGTTCCCTGTTCCTGTCAGACAAGTACTTGACAGAGACAGACCAGTTCTCCCCTCCCACCCCCCTCCATTTTGTGCAATAGAATTTAGGTATATTTAACGTTTGATATTGTCTTGACAGTCTTTTGTTCTGGTCCTGAATTGCAAAAGCAAGTGCAAAGCATCCTGATTAGGGAATGGTACAAAAATTAAAAAAAATTTCTAGAATAACTAGAAGAAAAAAGATTGAGAATTTTGACTTCGATTGTTTTGGTTTGTTACAATAAACTGTACATTGCTCCATATTTTGTGGGGAAAAAAGTGTCAATTCGTACCTGTAATAGTCTTACATAGTTTTCTTAAACAGTTTATGAATTGCATGTCTTACATATCTAGAAGGAGCCAGTAAGTTGATACATAATAATTCATGCATCTAATTTGAAACAAGATAAGTGAGAAAAACTAGAATAATTTACATGCTCCCTATATCCTGTGATTTTATTATCTTCGTAAAAGAGAATTAGTTAATCTTTTAAAATAACATCGTTTATGTAAAACAAGATTGTCAGGACATTTATGAGATGTGTTGGGGCAGAGCATAACAAACTTTCAATCCTGCTTTCATTGGGAAGCTAAGTCCCACGAGGCTGTGATTAGCCCTTACATCAAGGCAGGGTGCAAATGCTTGTTCACTATCACTGGAATTATTAGACTTGCAAGAATTTTCTAAAGAGCACAGAATGAGAAAATTACTGTAATTTTGCAGCTGAGGAATGTGTTTTCAGCATACAAGAGCTGATACTTTAAATACTTGCCACTGTAGAATCTGCCTTTGCAACAGATTGTGAAGATCGCAAACTCCTGCTTGTGAACCATGCTGGGCCAGAGTTCTTGCTTTGAGCTACTTCTGTGGCTTTTTTATATGCCACATTAGTATAAAGGAAAGCAACATATGAATTTGCAGTATGTTAACTATTCTTCTCTGTTTGGAAACTTAAAGTATTCCCCCTACTCTGTGTAAATGAACTGTATATTATTTGGCTGACTATGGCCATTTTGTTGGGTTGGGTTGGTGGAATGGTAAAGTGAAAAAAGTTAAAAGTTATTAATCTCAGTACTAATTTGTGTGTGAAGGATTTGATTAGGTGTTAAAAAATCAAAATTGTATACATAGTCCTTAATTCTGGTCTTAAACTGCAATGGGAAACAGGTGAGTAGTTTGGTGTTCCTATCGGCAAAAGCCTGTTGAATAATTAGAGTGAAACTGAAACAAGGAACAATTTTTTTCATGTACTTGGGGTTGGGTCTGGCTACGAAAGCCTGTTCAGTTGTTAATAGAACACGAAAGCCCTTTTAACTGCACACAGAGGTAGTAGCAATTAGACAATGAGTGAAGGTTATTGGTAAAAAAATTACTGTGAATCAAGAGGCCCAATTTTAACAATTAAAAAAAAAGTTAGTTACCATCATTTTTAGGTGCCTAACCTAAGACTCTACCTATATGGACTGTACCAGAGCAGGACCCAGTGTAGCTTGCTTTTGACATAATCCCTCTGTCTCCGTGTCATGGTAGATGGCTTCAACTTCAACTGTGAGCCTTCACACAGTCCTAAAGGCAGTGTGAGCTCACACTGCAGATAAGTATCAACTGCCCTTGCAGCAGACTATGCCAAAGCCCTTCTGCAAAGTAGTCCATGAATAATTTACCTCTTCAACATTAACCATGGGATATTGCTGCATGACAGCATTCCTGATCTAGCTACACAGTGCCTAAGTCTGTTCTTGGTCTGGAGGGCACAGAGCCTTGTTATCCAAGCCTAAGCCCATGACTTCCAGTCTGGCAGCACAGTTTGGTTGCAACCTATTAGTATGAAGGCATTAACTTTCGTTTTCACTGTGCTTCCAGGCTCACCTACAGTGAGACAGACCTTGCAACATTCATTGAAGATGTGAGGGAATATGGAAAATTCAGTCCAAGCTTAAAATATGTTAATGTACCTCTGGAAAATGGCAGAATTAATAATTAACTTTGTTGTAAAGATAACGCTTTTTGTGAACATATTGTCACAAATCATTATAAAAGACTTACAAAGTATACGTTATAGGGTATATAGCCATATCCTGTACAGATAGGACAAATTAAATAAAAGCTTTTTCCTGTACACGGTCTGTTTTCCTAACTGGACAAACAGTGACTTTCAATCCAAGGATGAAGCAGATTATCTACAGTTAAATTAGTGGAAAGGAAAGCAGTGTCCCTCTGTCTTTGAATGCTAACTAGGAAGATAAAACAGCTCCCTTCAGCTTAGTTCGGGTCTTCCTCGTCTGGTTACTCATTTCCTGCAACATACAACTCAGAATACGAATTAGTTTTTCCCCAAGGTTAAATCTCCTTGAGGTACACACTGGGTTTCTCCATCTTCTCTCATTATCCACCAGATATATCCTGGTCCTTGAGCAAAGACAATCCCACAAATGTGTTTGCCTTTGCTCGAGGGAGGGTTAACCCAAACTGCTTTACCTAACATACCTCTCAAATGAGTTACTGGGACTTTGTCTCCATCCACAGTATGAAGGGACTCTGATTGGGCAGGGCCAGCTCAATTGACGGAGCCTTTAGTCTTGACTAGCCATGTAACCTTTGCTAGGTGCTGATCCCAGTTTTTGAAAGTTCCCCCACCCAATACCTTCAAAGTAGTTTTCAGCAATCCATTACACCGTTCAACTTTTCCAGCAGCTGGTGCATGATATGGGATGTGATATACCCACTCAATGCCATGTTCCCTTTCCCAAGTAGTAACTAAACTGTTTTTGAAATGAGTCCCATTGTCTGACTCAATTAGCTCTGGGGTGCTGTGTTGCCAGAGTACTTGCTTTTCAAGACCCAGAATGGTGTTTCGGGCAGTTGTGTGAGACACCGGAAAAGTCTCTAACCATCCAGTGGTTGCTTCCACCATGGTGAGCACATAGCGCTTACCTTGGCGGGTGTGTGGCAGCTCGTTTCTTTCTTTAATTTTTTGAAGCTTGGTGCTTCTTCCGTTCTGTTTCGCAAATGGTTGCTTTCCCTGTGAAAGTAAAACAGCTCCCCCACTTGCAGTTGACAGACAAGCTAAAGGCTGGTCACGACTACTCTAGGAATAATACAACAGTCCCTGTTAAACAGTCTGTATCAAAGCAGGAATCTTCAGTCATTCCTGGGGGAGGATTTGTTTTGGTAGTTGTTCATGCAGGCCTACAAAACAGAACCATTTGAACAGTTAACATGTATTAATTAGCACTGATTTTGAGACTTTTTTTTAGAGATGAATAACAAAGTTTCTCCACTATCAAAACACTGCATGTACACTCTCTTATAAAAGAAAACACAAGCAGCATTGAAGAAGTTGCTGAGGGATTGCATTAGCTAAACTGTTGCACCTGAGAAGGTTAGTAAAATTGTACATCTAGGTAACTGGATGAATATAAAGCGTAGATGTATATTCAGGTCTAATATAGTTCTGTACAGAGTTCTATCTCCACAGTCCTTTGTTTGCACCAGAAGCTTGACAATAGTTTAATTGATTTCAAGTAATTTGACTGAACACCTGAAATCTCCTTCTGAAGGTTTACAATATCTTGATTGATTTACAGTATCTTATGTAAAAGTACATTAAATCTCTTACCAACTTTTGTTGGTATTAGTAAACAATCTCCATATACCAACACATAATTTAAAGCTCTTCTGTACATAACAACTGACAGACCTAAACATATGGAAGTTAAAGGCACTCTAGGTGAGGGCACCCTCCAGTCATCTGCCCAGAAGCGTGTGCACATCCCTATTGACATACTGTCAAAATAGACACCAAACTGCAATAGTCTCTAGGCCCATTTGGGGGATGCATACAGCCCATTAATCTCTTTTCCAAATTTTCCTGGTAACTACAGATCAAATAATTTTCCCTGGTAACAATTCACTATTCCCTGTAGTTTTACACTGATACAATTAAGAACATTTTGCAACTCATGGCTGAACCCTTAAGTTGATCTCTATCAGCTGTGGTGGCTTGAGACGGCATAAAAAGCAGAAACACCCCACTTTTCTATCCCCCTGCCAGCTATATTTTGTCAAGAAGGTTAACATTTCTGTCTTTGAATATATAGAAGGAGAATATTAATACCATAAGAAAAGCCAGTTTTCATGTAGCCACACATCAAGTGTTTGTTTCCCCCCTTTTTTATTCTAGGACTGCACTCTGACCTGTGTTACTTTTTATCTATTGTTCATAGAAGCTGAATTGCAGCTGGGTCAAGAGTCACCTAAGCAAGTGAGGGAGCAAAGGTGACTTTCCAATGTGATACAAAGCCCTTATTATATGGTACCTCTACCCTTGTGGTGGCTGCGCGGCTCCCTTTCAGATCAGGCTTCAGCTGCTGTCAGCATTTTGCACTTCTGATAGATTCAGAAATTTTAAGGGAGGAACAAATATGTCTTCTGTGTGACCTTTTGTACAGAACTGCTCATAAAATGTCACCAAGATACTGAGTTAAGCATGTTTTCCATTTACTGATATCTCTTGTGGCACTGAATGAGGATTAGATTTACAAAGTGTGCTGACTCGTGGTTTCATAGAGCAATCCAGGAGAATGGATATATCTAAGAGAGCAGGCAACGCCTTTTCGTCATACTGGCAATAGTGAGATAGTAAATCAAGTTAATCATAAACAAAAAACAAACAAGTAGCAGAAAGCTTCTCAGGCTGGTATTTAGCCTTGCTGTGATGAACAGCAGTGCCTCTGACAGGTAATTTTTTTCTCATGTAGTCATTTTAAAGAGACATCCTTTGTTTGTGAGCAGGAATCTGTTGACCTAAAGGCTTTAAAAAAAAAGAAGTAAAATTTGTGCTAATGTATTAAATGCGTGTTTCTGGTTTCAGTGATTCCTTCATTTTTGGGGGAAACTCAGTGAGGAGGGAACTGCCAATGTAACTTCCACATTTAACATGAAGCCTTTCGTTTGTTCTCAAACTTGATGCAAGATTATTGTTGCCCTTTAGAGGACTGCATTTATTTTAGATATTTGGATTAAGTAGGTTGCCTGAAATGGATTGTGCATGTTGACATGGGCCAAAGAGAAAATATCCCCAGCAAGCATTTTTTGTGTTAAACTAGACTAAACTAGATTAAATGAGACTAAGAGAATATTTTCCTTCAGATTCTGTAGTCTACATTGTGTTCCCTCTGACATTCAGAGTGCAAACCCAGTTAAGCAGGAACTGTTTGGGGCCTTTCTTATGTGCCAAACTCAATGGTGGCACTTTAAAACCAAAAGTGGATTGGTACCAGTTGTTTATAATTAACTGGGTTATGAACTGCTTTAGTTAATTTTGCACAAGCTCAAAGCATGTATATAGTGGTGGTACTAATGCTAAAGAGAACTGGTTTTTATTTCCTAATATCAATCAGGTCCTATTGCAACTAAGAGCCCTCAATGGGATGTTTATATATTTGATTAAGAGTGGAGTAAAGGAGGAGGAAATAATGTGATACAACAGTGAAGATGGAGATGTTATATGCAGCACTGACTCTTGACCTGGTTTGTACCAACTTCAGAATTTCTCTGAATGTTAGCAGAAGAATATGATATCCAGTTAAGAAGGCAAATGTGAGAAAAGCCTCTTCTCTTAATGCAGTAAGGGCTGCTGTCTCTACAGCTGGATTGTAAATAAATGCCTCTATTAGCCAATTAGCCCTTTAGCCAATTTGATCAAAGGAAGTAAGGGGTGTTCGCTGTTTTTTGGAGATGTTGCTTTCATCTCAACAGCATTTATGATGTCCACCTTAAAATGAGAGAAAAGGAAATTTATTCTACTTTATGCTGTTCTGTTGCCCTCTTTATAAGTGATCACCTTTAAATTTGTTTGTTGTTATTTGTTGATTAATGTTTGTACAATCTGGTGCACTCTTTTAACACCCTTTTTTCCTATTGGTTCCTAGTTTCTGTTAGAGTTTGATTTGAAAATGCCAGCAATTTCAGCTGCAGTTTTACAAAGACAGAAGTTCAAAGCATGTGTGAAATATTTTTATTAATGCTGAAAGTTACTGTCGGAGGAATGAATAAGAAGTATCCAGTGGAATTATTTTTTTCAGGGAGACTTAAACTTTAGCATAATCAGTGGAGTGTGAACAGAGATGGAAATCCTAGGGACGCTGGCATTTTGTGAAGGCAAAATATATAACATGGAAAAGGCTGAAGATCATTAATTCCCATTGCAAATAATCACAATTCCATGCGAAAAACAAGAGAGGTATCAGACATTTTCCTCTTATAATCTTCATCAAATTTCTCATTCTGTGCCACAGTGAAATGATTCTTCCAGTCTGCAACAACCCCTAAGAAACAGCAAAGCAAAAAAAGAAAAATGATTAGTTTACCAGCATTTCCTGAAGCCAATTATCCACAATTCACTAGATACTTGTACTTCAAGGTTTATTTCAAAACAGAATGAAAACCAAAAAGAGTTTATTTAAGTAACAAACCTCAGTACCTTTTCTCATGAACGGGGAAATGGAGTGATCCATTATTCCCTGAAAATCTTTAGTGTAGTTTGTCATGGGATTTTCCTTCATTACCTCAAATGAGGTATTATGGACTATCTTGTTTAGAACCTCCTGACTCAAGTCCTTCTCCAGAAACTTCGCAATCTTCTGAATTTCTCGCTTTGGATTCTGCAGAGACAATGACGTGGGATAAGATATAGAGCCAGGAAAAGAAAAGAAGTCAAACATAGTGTTAAAGCTGCAATTCTCAGACTGAAAAGATCAGGTCGTCATAAGGTTTACTGATACAGCTGTCATTATAATACAAAACTATCTTGTAGGCAGTATCTACTAGACTTCTGGATTTCAGAGCTCTATAAACATGCCTTTTACCTCCTTCATATCTTCATAGAAGAGGTAGAGAATACGGTGCTTATCTTTGGCCTTCCACCATCCTTTTACGTGGTCATACCAGGAACCCCAGAGCACTGAAAAAGAAGTAACATTAACAGCAGCTATAAATGCCCTAACTGTCTTTAACACATGTGGCATTCATGGTTCCCTTATGACCAATGCCTGGGGATTTACCATCTGGTTTTAAATTACTGTGGCCATGACTACTGTGCTCTGTGCTTATCACAGCATTTGTGCTATTAATCCCTCTAGTGTATGGATGCTCAGAGCAGGATCCATGTGTAACTTTAGAGGGCAACAAATGCAGATTCTTACTCCTGAATGAAAAATCCAGGCTTTCTTTGCAGTCAGTGGAAAGAAATGGACATTTCCAGTGATTCATCTCATCAGCTGGACAAGGCTGGTCTTGACTGGCCCTGCTTTGAGCAAGGGTTTGGACCAGATGGACACTGAAAGTGCCTTCCAGCTTGTATTATTCTGTGATTCTAACTGGTTTAAATATTTGGTATTCTATCAGAAGTACCTGTTTCTCTCCAGCAAGTATCAAGATGATCAGCTAGGACAGAGGTAGCTAATCAGTCTTCTAGATGTCTGCACTGGGACAAATGGCTCTCAAGCTGAGCTGGTCAAACACCAGACACAAGGTGTTTGTGTTTAGACATGAAACTCTCATGCTAGTCCAGTGTTATTTCTAGGCCTACATGGTGGCAAAAATATTAAGGACCTAAGGAAGTTTTAATGACCCAAACTGTAAACTGCCACTCACCTGACCATTCTTGGATATTCTGTGATATGGGCATCTCTTTTAGAAAAGGAAGAATCAGCTTCTGGGGTTGCTTGCCCTTAGTAAGATAACTGTCTTTTTTTCATATGCCCTATTTTTAGATAGATTAATTTATGTAAAAATACTTCTGTATCTAAAATTCCCACTGCACATTTCTAACAAAATTAACCCTTAGTTTCTTGTATATCGTTTTAGAATAAACCCAATTAAACCGCTGTTCCTTTTCAGCTGGCTTGTTTTAAAGTCAGAGAGAAGAGATTAAGACTGAAAATCATCATATAGGTTTCTGAAAGATCACAGAATAAAGAGTAGTGGTTGGGTGTTTTTTTCCCCAAATGGGAGTGTAAAGATAGATTTAATAATCCTTTAGGTACTAATAAAAACCTGTGAATGAAGATAAATTATGACTGAAACATCTTCAGTAGTTATCATTCCACAGAGTGAAATCAGCACTAGATATCAATAGCTGAAATAAATAAATCATTACAATGCATTTCTAAAATGAACAAAATCACTTATATAACTGATTTCAGTTCATCACCTTGTCCAGACATGAATTTCTCCACAAACTCCTCCCAGGTTCCTGGCTCAGGCATAGCCTTGTTCATTCTGTGGAAGTGGTAGTATGACACCATATTGTCTTTTGCATTTCTTGCCACATAGATTATCTTTATTGATTTGAAAAGAGAGAGAGAAAAAAAAATTAACTTGCACATGATTATATAGATATTGAGCATATCCTAAAGTTTTGTCTTGGACCCTGATGACAGTGTTTTAGGAGATATTGCTTTGAAGCTGGCATTTTCTAAAATCCAGCTCAGGTAACTTAGTCATGACTTCTTTAGATTTTCACGGACTTTGCACATTAAAGGGAAAATATCTGTGGGGACATTTAGGTTTTGTGGACACTCTGGAAAATGTATTCTGTCCTAGTTTATGTCACTTTCTTTGCCCATGAAGTAGAGTTGAGTCCAACCTCCTCAGCCTTACCTTACAGTTTTGTTCCCAGATGGAGGGAGGCACCAGCTGCACAGGCAGATGAATTTTTATTGTTCTTGGAGATGGCATGGCATTAGCTAACTCTACACCTGTGGGATATTTAATTATGAGATATGAGTTGTTCTCTCAATTGCACTAGCAATTCTTTGTTATTCTCATACATGTGATTTTGACCATGATTTTTAGCAGTACATCTTAAACCAATCATTCATCTCCAAAGCAGTTACATAACAGTGTAACATAAGCAACATTACATAAGCATCTTCAGTGTTTCTAGGGAAGTTTTTGCCTATATATTCAAGTTAAAAGGGGAAATACTGGTTCATATCTTCTTCTTGCTTTCTTGGGCCCACATCTGACTCGTGCATTCTAAGGGATAGTGATGAATACTGATTTATATTTACCCAACCAAAGCTTTTCCTTTGCAATATTTAGTGATCTCCTCCCACTTGTAAAGGTAAGAAATTTTTGCTCCTTTCTAGAATACAGGAATATGACTGGCTGACTAGACTTTCTGGATCGCATGTAAAAAGAAACTAGGGGAACGACTGGATTTTCAGTAGCTATGAATATAGTTCAGTAGCAAAGTAAGTGGGGTCTTTCTCAGGAAACTTACCACATCAGCACCAAGTGCTTGTTTTGTTTCATTTTGTCTAAAATACAAACCTATTTATATAATATTCACCTGAGTAACGTTCAGATGGAGGCTCTGCAACAAACCACTCAAGGAAAGGGTGGCGCTTGTAAGTCGTTTCACGTCTACATTTCTCAGTATCTCCATTTTGTTGAATCATATCCACTATCTCCTGTGTCCATGTGGTACCTGAAAATGTCAAGTGTTTAGATATTTCTCTCCAGGATAGCCAGGAGTCTCTTCTTCTAGGGAACTGAAAGCCAGAAGGATGGACTCTGCATTAAAGGAGGAAGGAACAGCAGAGAAGATAGTGGACAAAGTGGAAAGAGAGGATAATGGGGGAAAAATGCCTAATTAGGAATACAAAGGTAATTCCCAAAGCAGAGTTTCAGGGATTCCATTTTACAACAGGCTTCTTCATGCCAAAAGAAATAGCCCCCAACCCCACACCAGTACTGAAAAAAAGCTCTGGGATAAACTCACTATTATTTGGAGGTTGTATTATTTGCAGAGAGGAAATGAAACTCCCTCATTCCAATTTTCATACCTCACAAAAATTCAGGTATTTCAACTTTTGTTTTTATTCTAAATTTGAGTGAAAAAATGTAATAGCTGAACTTCAAGCGAGTAAAAATTTCATACAGTTTGAAAATATAAGACAGTGGCAGTATTTGCAAAGTTTCCTTTTGAACCACTTTAATGAAGATCAGTACATAACACTTCATCTGCCTGAGCAACTGCAAAATCTTGTGTTACAGTGTTGTGTATCTCATGCCTCTTTTCTTTTATAGCTGTGATCACTGTGTTAACCACATCTCCTCTGAGCTACCGTGGCAGGTCAGCTAGAGAACAGGCTAAGGTATAACTTGGAAAGCAATGTGGGCAGGAAATTCAGCTGTTGACATGCTTGAATTGTGCATCACAGGCAAATCTGACATAACGTCAAATGGACTGCCAACTTTTCTTTCAGTTCAGTGACTGAGAGGTTTTAATCCAGACTGGCTAAAATAACGTGGTTTTGTTTTCAATATGCAGACAGTAAATTAAAAGCTTTCAGGTTCTACAAAACTAATGGTGGGGGGGGGTTGGTGTTTTTTCCCCTACTGAAAAAAAACCCAACAAACCCATCCTTAAATATTGTTGTTAATTCTAGTAATTATTTTTTTATGATCATCAAGTGTTCCCATATCTGTTCCTGAATTTCCTAAACTGTACATGTTTTTATTCATGTGGGGTTAATATTGATGCTTGTTATTCACTGTTTTTCTGTGTAGTAAGTATAAAGGGTCTGATGAAGGGGAGCAATAGTGGCCAGCCACTGAATAAAATGTCAGATAACTAATATTAATGGTGAGTATTTAATTTTATTGGCTGAAATTATTAAGTGAATTTGGTTATTTCCTTAAAATAATTAATCTATTTTCAGAAACCACAGTTTGTTTACACACCAAGTAATTCCCCAAATATTATTCATTCCATAATCATGTCAGTCAGTTTCTATTACTTCTTAGTAATGATGACATTTTTCTAGGCATTGTTAAATCACTACATATTGGTGGAAAACTTCCATTGTTGTCATTAATATAAATGTATGTAATCTCAATTAAAGGAAACATTTAAGTATAGGTCATTCGACTTTGGCCATCTGTACTTCAGTAGTAACAGATTGTTGTTATTTCTGCCAAAGAAGTCAGAAGTTACTAGTCACAGGTGACAAGGCTTCATGTCTTTAAAATGTGTCTGGTTTGGAATTATACAAATATCAGTCACAATAGAAAAAAAACAGTTTTTAATTTCAACAATAAACGTTATCCCAAACTTTTCTATTCTCTTTCCTACATGCACCAACCTGCTTTTGCATAGGTTGCAATGTACACATCATCAGGTCTGGCTTTGAACTTTTGTACTTGATCCCATGTGATGCCCATTGGTTTTGTGAGGGGAACACCTTCCATGTCAACTAACTCACTTCGGGTAATTGTGTCTTTCAGACTCAAATCTTTCATTTTATCCACGACTGTTGAGCACTGCATGAATAGAGAAAGGCTTGGAATTAACATGGTTGCTCTGAAAAAAAACCTAAATTTACTCATCCATTCTTGAGGTCTCTCTTGTTGACTGAATTCCATGTCCTCTGATTTCCTTGGCCATGATTTGGCCTATCTGGATTCATATATAGACTCCTTAAAGCTGGATCTCATTTTCAGAAATGCTTGGTATATTACTGATAGTTCTCCGTGTCCCTAAAAATCACTCTGTTTACTCAGATACAAAAAAATTAAAAAGCCATTATTCCTATACCAAACATATTTATGTAAAATTGTGACTGTAGATATGAAGCCTTTGAAAGGCAAGAAAAAGAGGTGTGATTCAAAAGAAAGCAGAGCATAACATTTGGCAATGAAATCAGCATACAGGACCCAACCCTTCCTCCACAGAGAAAATAAATAGAAATTCCTACTAACACCCTTTGTGCTTCATACTCACGAAAATATTTACAGACCTTTTCTGTCTTTTGTTCCTGAATCTTTTCACTCCCGGAATTCTCTGCTGTATTTTGAAGTTTATTGCATATAAATAACCTGAAATAAATAGATCATTAACTAAAGATTGTTAAGGTTTAATTACTTAAACCAATCTGTTTTAGAGTAACTAGTTATTGATTTTTGAATTTCTTTTAAGGAGGCCCCTTCTTAGCCATAACTTTGAGAGCTCCAAATCTGGTCAGAGGAAAGCTCTGCTTAAGGGGAGGCTATAGAACTAATCTCAATTAAAAATATCAGCCAGAAAAGAGAAAAGACATTTCCATCCTAATCACAAACATTACTAGACTATTTCCTTTCATTTTCTTGATACTCACAGCAATTTCACAGAGATTCAGTTGAGCAAAGCAAGATGTTTGATTGGTGGCTGGGCAATGAATCAAGAAATTTAAAAAAAAAAAAAAAAGGAAGAAACTTGTCAGAGAATTTTTTCTGCTTAAATGTCTTCAGTCCTTGGCTGTATGGACAACTACACAGCAAGTTAGGTCTTCAGGTATAAGTAGGACAAAAGCTTGGGTGGGTGGAGATTCCATTGTTCCTATCAGTGTGAGGAGAGTGAGTGAAGGAGGAAGTGCAGCAGCAGCCAATAGCTGAGCAGTTTTTCTGGAGTGAAATCCTTTTTTGTGAAATCCTTTCTAATCCTGTGAAAGAAAAGTACTTTGAATTCTCATCTAAAGTATGATTCATTACTGGCAACAACATTAAATGTTGGTCAGTAGCTCCAGCAAGATTATTTTAATTCATCTCTGTCATTGTCAACAGTCTTGGAATAATTAATTTTTTTCCTAATATCTAACTAAATTGCAAAAGTCACATGTGCACAAGCAAAGGAAAAAAATCCCAAAAGATTTTATTCTGTACTTCCCACCAGCAGGTGATGTCCAGCCACTGCCCAGGAAGCAGGGGTTCAGCCCACATAGGAGTTGCTCTATGTAAGCCCACTGCACTCATAATTACTAGCATTGTGAGGGCTTTTAGGGGGAAATTATCTCCATCTTGTGGATGTGGCATTTACAACTTCTCTGGACAATCTGTTCTATCCAGTGTCTCACTACCCTCACAGTAAAGAATTTCTTCCTAACAACTAGTGTAAACCTACTCTCTTTCAGTTGGAAACCATTCCCCCTTGTCCTGCCACTACATGCCCTTGTAAGAAGACCCTCTCCATGTTTCTTGTAGGCTCCCTTCAGGTACTGGAAGGCCACAATTAGGTCACCTCAAAGCCTTCTCTTCTCCAGGTTGAATAATCCCAATTCTCTCAGTCTTTCCTTACAGGAAAAGTGCTCCATCTCTCCATCTTTGTGGCCCTCCTCTGGACTTGCTCCACTGGGCTGATGTCCTTCCTGTCCTGGAGCCCCCAGAGCTGGAAACAGTACTTCAGGTGAGGTCTCACCAGAGCAGAGGGGCAGATTCACCTCACTCGATCTGCTGGCCGCACTGCTTTTGATGCAGCCCAGAATACAGTTGGTTTTCTGGGCTGCAAGTGCACATTGCCAGCTCATCTCCTGCCTCTCATCCACCAGCACCCCCAAATCCTTCTGGGCAGAGTTGGTCTTGATCTGTTCATCCCCCGACCTGTACTGATACTGGGAGTTTCCCTGGCCCAGGTGCAGCACCTTGCACTTGGTTCTGTTAAACCTCATGAGATTCTCATGGGGCCACTTCTTGAGCCTGTCTGGGTCCCTCTGGATGGCATCCTGTCTTTCAAGTGTGACAGTTGTACCACTCAGCTTGGTGCCATCTGCAAACTTGCTGAGGGTGCACTCGATCCCTTTGTCTATGTCATTAATGAAGATTATTAAATAACACTTGTCCCAGTACAGATCACTAGCCACTGCTGTCCATCAGGATTCTGAGCCACTGATCACTACCCTCTGGATCAGACCATCCAACCGATTTCTTTACCATCTAACAGTCCACCCACCAAATCCATCTCTCTCCAATTTAGAGAGAAGGATGTTGTGGGGGACTATGTCAAAGGCTTTACAGAAGTCCAGATAAATATTGTCTGTAACACTTCCCTTGTCCCCTGACATATTCACTCCATCATAGAAGGCCATTAGGTTTGGTCAGGCAGGACTTGCCCTGTGTGAAGCTATGCTGGTTGTCCTGAATCACCTCTCTGTCTTCCATGTGCCTTAGCATTGCTTCTAGGAGGATCTGTTCCATGGTCTTTCCAGGCACAGAGGTGAGGCTGACAGGTCAGTAGTTCCCAGGGTCCTGCTTTCTATGCTTTTTTAAAGATGGGTACAATTTTTCTTTTTTTTCCAGTCACCTGGGACTTCACGTGACTGCCATGACTTTTCAAATATCATGGAGAGTGGCTTGGCAACTACATCAGCCAAGGAGATTTTACTCTCTACTTCTCATCAACAGGTGATATCCAACCACTTCCCAGGAAGCAGGGCTTCAGCACACATAGTGGTTGTTCCAAAAGGTAAATGTATATCATGATTGCCCCTTCTTCCTTCTCCTTCCTCTTAGCTTTTATTGCTGAGAAGGTGTCTTGTGGTATGAAATATGCCCTTGGTCTTTGGTCAACCACTTGATCTTTTTCTGGCTCTGACATCAGGTTTTTCTTCTGAAGGATGACACCACCAGAGAATATATGGTTAAGGTTTAATATTTCTTCTTTCTACTTTCAAGTTCTGTCATGGGAAGATTTGCCATTTTCCTCTCTGTGCTAAACCCATGCTGGTTCTATTTGTTTTTCTCATACCTGCACCTGGCAGTTCGTTTGCTGGTTTGTAATGTTATTCACCACCCTTTCAGTTATGCAACCATGTTGATAATGCAGTAATCCCAAAAGCATATCAGCTGGTATGAACAAAGAAAACCCAAGAACTGCTTATTGAATGACTCTTTTATTGCAGCTGTGAATCTCAGTAGCCTTTGAACAGTGCACTCTGCCAGATAAGCTACAGTGAGGTCAAAACCCGCAGGGAGATGAGAATTAAACTCACTGGGCCAGGGACTGGATTTCTGGTCTGGGATTATGATTTACAGGGCTCCTTTAAAAAAAGACCAGGCACTCTGCAGAAAGCTTCCTCCAGGTTTCCATTAACCTTCTCCTGAGTGCAAACTGCTGGCAGGTATTTCCTCATGTAAAACACACTGTGTTTATTTAATTTTATTTTATTATTTGATTTGATTTTAGCTTTGCTGTGTTTTGTTACTTGCACAATATCAGGCTTGAAATGGGATGAAGGTTACAAATCCTCCATCAGTATCAAGCCCTATGATATGATTATAAGTCTGATTTTCATCAGATTTTGCCTATATTTACCTGTCTTGATAATATAGAATACTATGTCTTATAAATTAAACTCTATATTAAAATCTATATCTGATACATTTGAGTGAATTTTTTTTCCTTGTTATGCTTAATGTTTATATTACATTTCTTTAAAACTCTAATCTCCCTCTGCTGGGCAAAACACAGTCTTTATTCCAAAAGATGTTAAAATATTTTGAATTTAGCATTACATTTTAAAGCTATTGAAATCCTTAGATACTAACCTGTATTCTTCATTCAGAAAAATGCGTACTTTGGAGAAATGAAAAGGCTCTCTGGAAAGACCTAGGTTTCACTTTGAGGCTTCTCGAATTTTAAAGCTGCATTCACCTCTTTGTGAGTGATTTAAGCTTGACCTGACTATGAGTCGGTGAGCAACCTTAAGCAGCGAAAGGTTTTTGTGCTGTGGGATGCATCTGGAGTTATCACAAACAATATCCTGTCATAGACTCATGGCTGTTACAGCCCATATGCTGTTGAGAACAATCCTGCAGGTATCTGTAAAATAGGAACAGTACTACCAATCTTGTGATTGTTATTTAATGAATGTCTGGGTTGCAGCCAGGTACAGGTGAGATAATTGTCACAGATATACTTATGTAATAGCAAAGTAAGTACTAAGGAAATGTTAAGTGTAAACATGGAATGAAAAGTCCTAAGGATTTAAATCAGCGACACATTTAAGCACAGTCTCTATCAGTAAAGCACTTACATTCCATTACCATCACACTTGAGAAATTTCTTTGCTTTAAGTATCCTTGCTCCAGCAGAGTTTCCTACTAGAGGAAGTGCTGGAGCCCCCAGTGTGTATAACTCTGACCAGCTCTGTATGTGTTGGGGTCACATTCATATTAATATATAATCTTGTTATGGTGGGCATGCATAGTCAGGTGAATAAGTTTAATTGAAATCCTGCAGCTTTTTCTAAATACTTTTCCCAAGAAAATATGCATATAAAGTGCTGCAGTGTCACCCTATCAGTGGCACCGCATGCTTTTGGCATTGTTTCTGGAAATTCTTTTGTAGAAATAAAAGATCAGGTATTCACTATGCAGAATAACATAATACGTTCCCACTTGTAAATGAGATTTGGTTTAGAGCCAGGAGAAGGAAAACAGAACTTTTTAATAAACATTTACAGAGCTTGATGCCCTTTGTATATAATAAATGATGGAGTGTACTTTAAAACATTAATTCGCATGACAATACCTGATTCAGTTGACTGCAGACTCCTCTTTACTAGCAAGCTCAGTGTGGACAATACTAGTGCAGGCAGCATTACTCGATAGAGATGAGGTAGAAGCTGTTCATGTTCTCAAGCTTAAACTTGAACATCAGTGTGACAAAAGTCTACCTTAGAGAACTTGGGAGCACTGCTTAGTTTTAGGTGCTTGGCACAGCTGTGTCCTTGTTTCTTCCCATTGGAAACCACAGAATTTGTGCCAGATGCTTTGTGGGACTGGTGCCCCAACACTTAGTTCATGCTGATGAGCAACCAGAGGTGAAGACAGAAGTGGACTAAGAGCAAATGTAACTGAAGAGCCTGTAGATTGCAGGTGAAAGGTATGTGTCCAAGTTTTCAGGCATGCATGAATTGATGAACAAGTCCTAACTGAGTACCTATGGTCCTTTTCCTCAGAGCACCACTAAGTTGAGATATAATTTGTTTTCTCCATCCTTTCCTATCACCCTGCAACTGCCAAATTACAGCAGGAAAGAAATGCTTTTAAAATATGCACTTCAAAAATAATACACGTTGTCCACAGCTCTGTGTTGATTTCTTTGTATCAACAGATGACCCTTATTCTTAAAGCTGGATCCAAGATTCTAGTTCTCCTAAACAGAGTAAGTTGTCATGTGTTGCATTTAAGGATCCATGTTGGAGGAGGAGAGACGGAGTGGCAAAAATATGAAGCTTGGAGAAAGATTTATGACCCATAAATGGACATTTTTGTACCAGATTGGACATTCTCATACTGGATATGACATTCCCTGGACTTGACAGTTTTACCCCAGTTTTCCCCAGTTTATTGTTATATTGTTATATGGTTGTGTGTACCCCCAGTTGTTGTTTTTAAAATTATCCTCCATATTGTCTCCTTCTTCCCCTCACAGTTTTCCCGCCTTAACCCTGTTTTCCCGCTCCTCTGCCTGCCATTGGCTAATGTTTGGTGCAGTGCAGAGGCAGCTACCATTGGCCCATTTCCCCAGTTACATCCAAACTCCTCCCCTCCTTACCCAGTTACCCAATCACGTTCCTCGCTGAGTTGCCAGTCTTATGCTCCTCCCTAGCCCAGACTCCACCCCTAAACCTATCCTATATAAGTTACTGTTTCCCTAATAAAGTTGGGCATTGCTTCCTGAGACTTCTACTGTGTCAAGACCCTGATTTGCAGTGCCCGATCCTATTCCTTTTCCCACGGGTCGTGGCAGATCCACATGCGAGCTTCATGCCACAGTAATAGTGGCGGTTGTTTTAGCAACTGTCTTGATGAACTGATGTGAAAATATTTCCATTCAAGCCAAACATCTGCTTTGTAGCACAGCTTCTTGTGGATACCTCCACTTGCATTAAGTGAAGTTATTCAACAGGCTATTTGCATGATCTCTTTATTGACCCTTCTTTAAGGATGTGATCAAAACTTCTTTGAAGGGGACTGTGTAAACTGACATAATTTCATATCTGTCCTCTTTCAACTGGCATTTCTTTCTGAGGCTCCAATTTGATCATTTAATGAGTATTTGAATCTCAGCAGCAGAGCAAAATGCCTGTAAGCCAGGGAAAATGCATTTTCTCTTAAGACCCTATATACACCTATACATCTTCTATACCCCTTTAGACAAGGATGTGATTGAGACAAAATAGCTTCACTGCCTTGGATTTACTATTTCATGTGAATCTCTTGGGGCTACTGCCAACTGCAGCCTGCTTCTGAGGCTATATGAAAATAAGAAGGTAGGTTAGAGCAAAACACAACCAGACTTGCACAATTATTTTTTGCAATTATTTCCTGAGAAGAACATGCACTTCTTCATTACAGATGAAGCCTAGAGGTGGAAAATTTAATTCTTGGCATTAGTGGTGGTATAGCAGGATGCTCAAGTGCTACCCTGTAGTACCTTAGGCACTAAAACGTCTTGACCTTTAATCTGGAAAATTAAAGGGAGTTTTGTTTAAGTGGCGCATCTGCTGTTCAAGCTGGGACTTCATTGCATGAAGACTGCCTTTCCCAGTTCAGAAGCCATTTGCTTATCCAACCAAATTATAACTCCAGTTTAGTTTTTAGAAACATCTGTTTGTAGACAGGAAAATCCCTCTGGATGTGAAGCTTCAGAAAGCAGCTTCAGAAATTTTCATGTTATGTTGAGCTTGTGATCATTAACCAAATTCCTCTCTGAAATTCTGTAAGCCCAACAATCTTACTTCTTCAGCCTTGTGCTGCTTGGTTCTAGGAAATCCTTATATGACTACTTCTTTACTTAAAGAAAGGAATCCAGATGCTGCAAACAAGAAAAATTCAAATGTATATTCTATCATTGTTTTCAGTACCATAGGTCTTTGTGTCACAATTCTTATTAGGTAGCAGAAAGAACATTATATATTAAATACTTGAACTACAAGAAACTCTTACTGATAAGGCTTATAAAAATTTCTCTCTTGGCAATGTCTGTCATTATGCATGGTTGTAAAAAGACCTTACTCAGTTAAACAAAGTGCAGTGAAGGAAAGCAAAGCTGTAAAAATTATTAGTAGGTTTTCTGGTGAGTATAAAATTTAAATTATTACCACCAACATTTTATGAAAAACATTAATTACCAACATAAAATCTGACACTCTTCAGAAGTAAAGAAGTCTATATGTCTTACTTGCCTGCGTGTTTTGATCCAGGAAGCCAGCTTTAATTTAGAGTGGTGGATCCTTAATGGTTGACATTTTAAAAGTCTTTTATGTATTTATTTTTAAAAGTCTGTTCACATTTTCAATCACAAAGACATTTGTGTGGTTGAAAATTCACAGAACTTAAGTTGAAACAGATTGAAATCTGCACCCCTTCCCAGTCCTATCACAAAAGAGCGCTTCAAAATCTGTGGATGAGTACCAGGATGAGGTTATCTGGTGTGGATTATCATATTAATTATTGGCTCAGATCAACTCAAGTGTGTGTGTGTGGAGAAGGGATACGTCAAATTTCACAGAGGTGAGGCAATGTTCTATCCCATACCTCAGTCCCTGCTAGTTTCCTGAGGCATGCGCTAAGTCCATGCTTTGGGGAATGCTTTATTTTGGTTGAATGTTACCCTTTAAACTTTTGCCAAGTATTCTTATTTCTTAAAGTTTACTAGTAAAGTACCTCCTGACAAAACATGTGCAGCTTCTCCTTTGTGCTCTCTCTTAAGGTGTCAAAAGAACTGAGGGCTCTTCTAATATATTCAGAAGGCAAATACTGTTGGTGCCTCGTGTATTTTTAAAATAAAACCCTTTGGTGAGCTCATAGCTCAACACCTGAGGTCTTACACCTGATGTTAGAGACTGCTGGAGCCCAGATGCCTCACTGTCCTGCTGAGCTTGCCTGTTGTGATGTTAGTGGAACTGATGCAGGTAAGAATATTTAAGTGGGATTTATTTCCTCTCCCCTTTTAAATATTCTTTTAGATTTTTTCATCTTATAGATAAAAATCTGCTCAGAGTTTAATGGATGTGTTTCACCTCTCATATGGGCACTCTTCTGGGGACTTCGTCATTCACATCAATGGAATTGCACCAGTATAAAACAGGAGGAGAGTAGTTGACGTAGAATTCATGAATCTGTTGAGGTTGCTATGAATTTTTCTTCCCATAGATCAACAAATCAGTTAACCTGTTTCCTTCAGGTCACTGGCATAGAAACAAATAGCAGTGTTCACATTTTCTGAAGAATTAACACAGTTCTGAAACACAGTACTTGTGTTTCAGTGTTACACTACAGACTAAGGACTACGCTATTCCTTGTGGCAGCTTTAAGGGGGAAGAAATTCTCATGCTTTTAAGACGTAATTTTGGGCTTAAAATGTCTGTTACCTTTCCGTCAAGATACAGTGGCAACTGTGGTGTTGCATGCTATATTTACACAACCCGTGGCTGCATTTCTTCTGGTGTAACCCTCATATAGTGGAAATATGATTGGAAAAACCTTTTCTGAACAGCCAGTTTGTATTGGTCAAGTCTGACAAGCTGTCTTTTCGCATCAGGGTATTACAGCTGTGAGACAGCTATCATGGACTATCAGGATGGAGTATCACACAGTTATAGTTTGTAGTAACTGATCAAGACATGTTGGACAGGACTTTTCTCCATATATTAGTAGCTCCTGGTTGCTTTGCCACGTGTAAGGTCTCCCTTTGTGTGTGTAAAACTCCACATGCATGGTATCCACAGTCTCAGATGCAGCTGAATTGCCTTCATTGAATTGTCTACCTCTCTTCATTGACAAGTGCGGCAGCTAAAGCAACCAGAATTCTGATGTAGGCACCCTTTCAAGTTCCTGAAGTTAGGCAAGCTAGATAGAGACTCAACTATGACTATCAATATAATGGATTTGGAACTGCACACTTTAAGTAATCTCACCCACAAATCCATATATGAGGAATAGTAACCTATATATAAACATATGTACATCTAGAAATAAAGAAAATTCTTTAGTCTAAATCTGTGTTCTCCAACCAAGTGTTGAACAGAAGGTCTCAAAAAAAACCCCTGCATAAATAGCCTCATTTCTAAAGTGTGTGGCTGGAGTCCTGCTTCCATAAAAATGTAGGGTGGTGTATCTATGAATTTAATGGGAGAAGAGCTAGTTTGTGATGGTGGAGACTTAAAAACTATTGTAATTTGTAAGGCTTTAAAAAATCTTACAAGCATCTAAAAATTCTGCACTAAACAGATATTTTTCCCGCTCTGCTTAAAAGTGTATCTCATAGAGAGCAATCCTCTTGTCCAGAGGTTGTAAAGGAGGCACATGAGGTTCTGGTTCTCTGTGTACTTTGTGTCATACTCTCTATTCCTGTAGCTCCAGCCTTGTTCTTTGGGATACTGAACTATGCAGTTGCACATGTCACCTGCAAGAGAGAAGGACAGCATCTGTCTGTCAGAAAGGTAGAGTTTAAGGCCAAAACAGATATGAAGTGAGAATGCTATAGGAATAAAAAATTACCTATCAGGTGCTTGTCCTTTGATCTAAACTGTATGAATGACAAAAGTGTGAGAGCATGGTTTGTTAGAAATTTCTTATCTTTTAACAATATTCAGTCTTTAGTCTTCTAATTGTCTCGAAAAATGTCTCCTGGAAAGTCACTATCGAGCATTAAATCTCAGTTAAAATCTTTCATGTGTGCCTTCAGTACAAAATTAAGAAAATTATGACCACTTATCCTTTTATCATTTTGGATAAGTGTCTTTTCTTACATTGCTCATGTCTGATCTAAAATTCTTCTGTTGAATTTGGTGAGAGTTCATAAACTCTATCCTGTTTGCAGCTTTCTAAATTGTGAAAAGTTCAGCAATATATTAATAATCCAGTTTTATGTGATTTTTCTTTTTCAACAAGAATTATGTGAGATGTGAGGATTCCTAACAAAATTAAAGAACAGAAGATAGCAAATTAACCACAAATATCTTACAAAGTGATGTCCTTATGACAACTATGGCTCAATTTGAATGATTGGGTGATCATGACCATTTATATACATTTCATTTTACATGCTGAGAAAAATTCCTCTTGTCACAAGAAATTACAGCCCTAATACAGGATAAATACACTTGATATTTGTATGCTTGAAGGATTGCAGTTAATATATGCTATTCACCAGTATATTAAAGTATTTTCATTCTTTCATACTGTGTAAGGACAGCTTTAAAACAGAGTAGTTTTTGTTTACTTTAATGAAGATGTTTCTTCTATAGAACAACCAAGACAGGGAAACCTACATAAAAGAGATGTGTGAATTATTTAGGGGTAGTATACCAGATTAGGTATTTTAATGTCAAAGAAACATTCTGGATGCTTTGACTGCATTCATCATACTCTCTTTTGTATGCATTGAATATGGAAACTGTCAAAAGTGTTGAAAGTTTGACAGATTTTTTGAGCTAAGTATTTTCTTTTTTGACAGAACAGTTTGGTTTCTGAGTCCTGCATCCTTGCTTCACTGAGCAAGGATGCTGTTATGTTTGGCTTCGTTCATTTTGA